GCCATGGGAACGCATTCATTTGGATTTCGCGGGATCTATTGATTCGTATTCATGGTTAGTTGGAGTTGATGCACATTCTAATTGGGTTGAGGTCGAGTTGATGAAAGAGACCACATCTACGACAATGATCAGGGCTCTAAGAAAATGGTTCGCACGTTTTGGAACGTCAAGACAAATTGTGTCAGATAATGGTCCTCAGTTTATTTCTGGGGAATTTCGTAAATTCTGTTTTGAGAAAAATATTAAATTAATACATTCAACACCTTACCATCCTAAAACGAATGGGTTAGCTGAAAGAACAATACAAACACTTAAGAGTCGATATTTTGCCACTAGGAAAGATATTAGGGAGCCAGAGGAAGCTATGGGAGAAGTTTTGACAGCATACAGAATGGGCGAGCACCAATCAACTGGACGTTCACCGGCAAAATTATTGTTGGGGCGAAATCTAAAGATGGATTAAATTGGTTACATCCAAATGTTAGGGATGAGATGGAACGATCTAATATACGACAAATAACAGCGCATGATGAACACAGTTAAATGAGGGAATTCGAGATTGCACAACCCTTATGGGTACACAATGAAATAAATTCAGGTTAAGAGAAGGAATTATAAAATCCAGAACTGGTGGATATTCTTATTTGGCAGAAAGCAAGGTTAGAATGTTACGAAAGCATGCGGATCAACTTCGAAAACGGGAGGTACCTAAAGAAATGGAGAAGTCTGGGAGAGAAGAAGAAAATATGGAGTCAGAGAGAGAGGAAGAAAATGAAGAAAATATGGAGTCAGAGAGAGAAGAAGGAAATAAAAAAAAATAGAGAGTCGGAAATAGTTGAGATTTTGGAAAATGTGGAAAGTAACGGAAAACTAGAAACGCGGAAATCACAAAGATCTAGGAAACCTACAAATCGGCTCATTGAGGAGTTGTAAAATCATAAGTGTTATGTTATTAATGAGATATAATTATTATTAATGTTATAAATATCATTGATTGACATTATTGATATGTAATATACGAATTGCGATAGATATGTCACACACGAATTACCATATTATATATGTAATAAACGAATTTTATAACAAGGTTTAAAGAAAAGTGTGGCTAAAGAAATTTATTCAATTGGTTATTAACGTGGAGATTAATATTAAAATTACCAGCAAGGATAATCATTGGGTTATTTAATAATTGATTTTGACTTTCAAGGAATTGTATTTACTCATATAAAGATGTTATAGGGCTATTATATATAGCACATATCCATAACGCGGAATAAATTAGGTACGATGGAAATTTAATGTGGCTGGATTTACAACGATATGAAACATTTTCTGAATTAAACATAAACTGCGTGATAGAATTATTGTAACATATTGTTATTCCACCAGCACCTCTTGGAAAATGATCATTATTTAAGACAATGTGGCCAAAATCTTTTATATGATTATAAAGAATATTGTATGTCAACAAATAATATAATGGAATCACTTTAATAGCGTTTCTGTGTTCAGAAAATGATTGACATTTTGTAAGAAAAAAGCTAAACTGGTACGGCGAATATCTGGTTTAAGTAACAAAACAAGGGGCAAATATTTTGTTATAACCGGGCCATTTCAGTGTTTATCATTTGTTTAGGATCAGCAAATTGGATCCAAACAATATCAGGTGGTATTTTAATAACAAAATCTTCTATTATTCCTATTGCGCCATTGAATAGGCCATCGGAAATTAAAATGCTTATTGTAAGCATGTACCCTCTAAATTATAAGCTTTACCTTCTGAGCTATCATCATATGTTGGGAATCAGTACAGTTGACTAGTATGGATCAAATTTTCGTAGTTTTTTTTGTAAAAGGGAGGAGTTGCTAAATTTTACTAGGGCATTTGTTGAAAATAAATGTAAAATATTTACCGGTAAAGTGGGAATAAACTTTTGGTCGGGATAACATCTGCATGAAACATTAATAAATCTGAAGGAATCATGGTAAAGCAGGTGGACAGACGACTAAGAGCTTTAGCAAATTCTATATTAAATTTTTGGCGCAGTTCTTAATTCGTAATATTTAAATAACTCCCATAACGGACTAGCGATAATTATTAGTAACGGTAATCCCTGGGCTTAATTGATGAAAATTAATACAATAATATTCCAACGGGGCAGAATTCATAAATATTTATTGAGCGACAATTAGTATGGTAAAAATTTTGTGTCTTAAACATAATATAAATAAGTAACATCGTATATCACTGGATAGTATAGTTTCTTGGAGGAGTTGTATTATAGATAGACAAAAGGCTGAATGGAGGAGGGTCATTTCTTTTATTGCATGAGCTACTTTTTCAGTTGTTGCACAAACTAATATATCAGGAAGGTCAATTAGTCCATTTATTAGTCTAAATATTCGTTTTAGTGATTGGTTCAAAGCTTTTATTAAAACGCTTTTGCCTACTCCATTACCTTTAATAAAATGATAGGACAACTGAGCACTAGAGGTAAAAGACTTGACGTTCATTAGATAAATTTTTTGCTCAAAATTGGGGGAATATATTAATTCCCAACACAAATTTTCAGGTAGTAAGATGGGGAAGGTGTATCTTTGAGTTATGCCGGTGGAAGAGGTGTTTTCTAAAAGAGATATCCATATATTAATATCTATATTATCTATCCTAGTTAATGTATATAGATATTATTATTTATATCCACTATAGTATCGTATTATCGAATTTCATTAACCTCAGTTATTGTCTGAGATATCAGCCTTAATTTTAAAGTATTTAGCCTTAATAGTGGTAATAATGGTAAGATTCAAACTATACAGTGCAAAAAAATTTTAAGGTTCTAAATCAACTTCATCTCGCCAATGAACATATAAAAGAATATGCTCCTCGATAATATTATAATTCTTGTTGGAGTGCATTAAAATTTCTTACGATATATCAAAAGCTTCCGGGCCAGATGGTCAATGTTCTAATGTATTAGCAAAGTTATTGAGATATAACTTGTATATCTGAGGGGTAACCCAAACACTATTAAATTCTATAGCTTTGTATAAAGGGGTAGTAAGTTATAGCGAGCAGCTATAATTATTTTATGATACAAAAAATTGTATGGTGCTTATAACAAAGGCGTCTTTTAAGTTATAAAGTTGTAATACGTGTTTCATCAATAGCTCGAGGGATTGCCAATACTATTGAATCAACATAGACAGGAATGTTTATAATACTACTTTTTTTTAAACTACGCTAGGTAATGAAAGACAATAGTGGTTCTTTGCGTAGTTGAAGAGAAGAGCTAATTTTACGGTTTTGCAATTTTAATCCACTCCAAAAAAGTTATATTTCCGAGAACATATTCTTTTATATTTTTCATGGCGAGATGAGGTTGCATTAGAAGCTTCAAATTTTTCAGCATTATACATTTTTAAAATTACCATTATTACCACCAATAAGGTTAAACTGATATCTCACAATTAACAACTGATGTTAATTAGATTCTAGAATACGATAATATAGTAGATTTAAATATTAATACAAATGATAATCCACTAGCTGATATAGATCAATTTTTGAAAACAATTCTCCCAATGACATAACGCGAAAATACTCTTCCAATCTTACTACCTGAAAATGCGTATTGGATTTTAATATATTCCCTTAATCGAACAATTAATGCCATATCTTTATTTACCATTAAAATTTCCTTCTATAATTTTGTTAGTCTTCATGTAGTTGAAATTTACCCCTTATAATTTAATATATAAAATGACATAACGCGAAAGTACTCTTCCAATCTCACTACCTGAAAATGCGTATTGGGTTTTAATATATTCCCATAATCGAACAATTAATGCCATATCTTTATTTACCATTAGCATTTCCTTCTATATTTTTGTTAGTGGTCATGCAGGAGTAGGTAAGAGCGTTTTAATTCTCGCTTTATACCAATTAATTAAACATAGATTTATTAATTTTTGCACCAACTGGTAAAGCGGCTCATGCGATGAGGAATAACACTCCATTCTGTTTTTGTATACCCTACACAACCCCCCCAAGAATTTAATATACTTTCAAGTGATTTAAGTAATGCATTACGGTGTTATTTATTTAGATTATGTTTAATAATAAACCAAACATTTATTCTTACCTTACCCGCAAATATTTAACATTTATTTTCAAAAAATGCCATAAGTAACAGCCTTTAACAACTCCGTCTTATTACAAGGAAATATTACGAAAACTATTTCCTCTGGATATAGATACCTTCCTGGTCATCTACTCCCAACATATAAAGGCTCAGAAGGAGCTTTTAAATATACAAAATACCTGTGGTCTTTCATTAGAATATTTCGAATTATTATAAAAATATATGCTTACAACAAACATTTTAATTTCCGATGGCCTATTCAATGGCGCAACAGGAATATTAAAAGATTTCGTCTTTAAGATACCACCTGATATTGTTTAGAGCCAACGATTAACAATAGGGCGTTAAATCTCAATATATACACGATGCCGTTACTATCTTGATTCCCCTATATTGAACTCCTTTAACCACCGTCTCAAGACGAATTTACATTAGTCAAGGAGTCAATGTAAAAATCATACGAACACATTTCCCATTAGCAGATGCTATCACTATTCCTAACAAAATGATATTGCAATGTGGTATGTGGCCTGTTCGTGTGTTACTTGTTTACTAGGTCTATTTGTAATAGGTAATTTCCCTACCTTATCTTTTACTCGTTCACAACAAATAGTAAACATTGACTCAGTTAACACAAAATATTAGCCCCTGGTTACTTAAAACACCGATTCGCCATACTAGTTTAATCTTTTTCTTACATAATGTCCAATCATTTTCAGCACACAGAAATACTATTGAAAGTGATTCCATTATATTATCACATGATATTTTATTGTTTACAGAAACTTAAACAATCACCTGTTCAGGTCTCTCTTACTACTATTTTATACCTATCATTTTTTATCATTTGTTAAGGTTACGATATGTCGCTATTCGTCAAGAAGTATTCGAATTACCTCAACGAAAAGGCTATTACTTACAGGCATATGGGCTTTGATTTTTGCAAAATTAAAAGAGGGTACGGTATTTTAAAAAAAAAAAATTTAAATAGTCAAAAATATATACAATCGAAGAATATCTTATTCGGTATTTTAGAATTTTTGATAGAAACATTGATTTAGAAACTGATTAATTTAACAAAATGTAGTTCGATTTCAAAAATCTCCGATTTTGCTCTAATCTTTATAATTTAGGAATTTAATTTTCAATTTATTCTTATTCGTAAAAGTAGATTATTTCACTTGGGAATAAATGAAATCTTGGCAAATATTTAATGTTATCCAATTTAGATCATTATTTAATATTTACTTTATATTTCTATATTATAATATAGGAAAGACGGTGTTCTAAGGACCATGAATCCAGACAAGGTGATTTAAACAATTTAAAAAGTATTATTTATCACCAGGATTCTATCTCGAGAATTTCGCATCTAATCAACTTTAAAACCCAACCCTTTCTAAATACCAGCGACCTATCCGATCCGATATATTAAATTAGTGGATATGGAATCATCGAAATTAGATTGAAAGATGGCACTGTAGATGTAGTCATTTATACCCTATATGGTCATCTACGTACTAAGGACTTTTTAGTTGATTTGATACGGAATTCTCCAAATTGTGTTATTCTTTTTAAATAGTTGATTTAATCTTAAAATAATTCACAATTACAGCTCATCAAATCATTACCCGTGTTACAAAACCAATTGGACGCTCTACTTAATTTCAATGTAAAATTAAATAATGCCGTTTCATTTTTTTAAATAAATATATGATGAAATTTCCAAAGATTATCACTTTCCTCTTTACTTCATCTGTTCGAGCTAACACCCTATTAAAAAATAACTATAAAATAGTTTCATATATTGACCAAAACAAAATCACCCTTGGGGGTTACCTTGTGGAGGTTTTCACAAAAATAGAGCCGCTTATTTAATTGAATATCATTGCGAATCAAAATTTAATAGAATGCTAATTTTAAAAATAAAATGTTAAAAGTAATTTGAACCTATTTCTATGAATTTATAATCAATAACAATGTTTTTATTTTTTGGTATATTTTGGTAACTGTTAATTTGTTAACTTTTATCAATCAGTTAACTTAAAAAATTATAAACTTTCCCCAAAGAAAACATAATTTAAGAGCCATAATATAAAGTCAACATTAGTAGCATTTATTAAAATAACATTGAAACCATAAATTATGAAACATTTTGTGTTTTATTTCACTCTACACGAATTTTATTTTAGTTTCTTCCATAATTTTTGAAAGTCCTCGAAATGTTTATTATTTGTTGGATCAATTTATCACCACCATCTATAAGGAATTTGGTCGTTTATCATATGAATATTCATTTTAAAGCATTTTTTTATTTTCTTTACCTCAAGTCTCATATATATAATTAGTGTCATAATATACTGCCAACTCAATGTATATCTGTCTTTTAATTTCTTCAGGAAAACAATTAACCTATAAATCAAAAGTTTGGTAAAGTGCAAAATTCGCTTAGTCGGTTATTTTGTAAACGTTTTTAATTTTTTAAGTAAACTGATTAATAGAAATAACTAGCCAACAGTACCGAAATATCTCGAAAAATAAAAACATTGTTTTGATAGAAAATCTCTGTTAAGAACATATATTTTTTTTAAATGTTAATAATATTTTAGTCATAAGTGGAAATTTACTGGCAAAAAATTGTTTATTTTTGTTTATAACGGGTACGGATAAAAGCCTTTTATATCAATCTCTTGCTTTTAGAATTGGAACTGTAATAATCTATTTAGTCTATAAAATTTAAAATTTTATCAAGCTTTAGGACAAGTTATAATTAATGGGATTGACCGTTCTTTATCATCTTGACTCATTGGAAAACAATTGTTATTTAAAATTTTAACTTTTAAAAGAACGAAATTCTTAAATATATAGGCAATTCGATCTTACTAATGTGACCTCAACTTTAAATAGATTTAATAAATATACACAAATGTCATGTAAATCCTAAAATTACAATATTAAGTGCAATCCCTGTGATATTAACAACGCCATAATCAACAACTGTTTCATTCTTTTATTCCGCGATTTGGTGCGACTTTTTGCGTGTTACAATGACGGGAATATGAATTTATTAGGTCATTTTTTAATTTTTTATAAAGACATTATATTTAAATTAATATCCAAATTTGCATATTCGATGTGAAATATATTGTTTATATTTTAAAACCAATAAATAATTAGGGTAAGATTAAGTAGATCTAATGCAAAATTAGCTCTTATAGACAAACGCATATCAAATATTTTAATGATTGATATATCCTTTTCCTTTTAATATATAACTCTTTCTCTTAACTTAGAGTTTTCGCGATTTATACCCAAACAAATATATTCCCTTTTTCTAAGGATTATAATTTTTAAAATAGGAATATTTCATCTGTTCAGTATTATTTTATCAATTGTCCGAGACATATTCGCAGATATACCATATATATTAAATCATAACTAAGAATTCATTTTCCTATAGAGTTATTTTATTATTTTTTAAAAAAGAAATCTTTAGTTTTATTGTTTTTAATTATATTTTAATACCTTTTTAGTTACCCTTTACAATTTTTAAAAATTTGATTTTTTATAAAAAATAAATCCCTTTCCATTTTTGATATTTATTTTATCTAGCATTTTATTTTAATATATATATTTTTTTAAACAGAAGCTTATTGGACCATGAACAAAAAACAATCCAAAGAAGCGCTCGAAATTTACAAAAATTTTTTGCTGAGGATGGACAGAGTTTCTGAATTTCTAAAATCGGCCGAAGTTATTTTTTATATAAATCATATAAGTAAAAATATATAATTCTGAATCTGATTAATCTGGCAATGTGGTGATATAATTATCGATAACCGATTAATAATATTACGCAATCCCCACAAAAATATTTTTGATTAGGCAATTTATTTAAAATTTATTGTTTGATTTTTTTTAAAGTTATTGGCGAATATTTTTACCATCATTTCTTGGCTCATATATTTGTTCATTATAATTTTACTGTTGTGTTATGCCGATGAAAGATACACAGTGAGACCGAACTCAACGATACCGCCTCCCTATCTTTAACCCTAAATCGGCCCCTCCACTATCAAGTCTTATTTACGCTTATCAAAGGTTCTATAATATTGAAATAGCTTTATATTGACCAAAATATAACCAACCTAGATGGTCACTATGCATGAAGGCTTCACTGTAGATATAAAAATTTTTTATATTTAAATATTTAAAAAATGATTTAATATTATTTACTAAAGGCTGCTGGTATTGATAAAAGTGATATTCCGGATATAACTAAAGTATTCGTATTTTATCCATATAATATTTATATTTTAAAATATTCTCTTCTTTAATTAATAAATTTCTTCATGATTTAATTTTACCAACAATATTTGGAAAAAAAAGATTCCTACAAGTTTATTGGAGTCCATGGAACAGCACTTGGCATATCTGGACACTTCTACGAATAGTAAGAAAGATAAAAAGCTATCATCTTCCTCAGTCGCTACTAGCCATGATAAATTTAGTGATAAGACTGTTTCGAATGGGTAAATACTAACACCGTTTTCTGATTATTTGATGTTTCACCTATTTTTATTATAAATTAAAAATTGTCTTTGAAGTTTCTAAAATATATGAATGAATTTATTATTGTTGTAGTTACCGGTAACTAATTACATTTTGCGAAAAATAGCAAACTAGTCACTTTTAAAAATATGTTAATCTTATAAACTTTGTATTAATTTCCAAATTTCTGAATTATTTTTATTAAATATAAAGTATCACTTACATAGAGCGCTCCTGCCGAACGCTTGTTTAGCCTAGGGCTTATATTTTTAGAGTAGTCCTATTCAAAAACGAAACAAATAGTAAACTATTCGTAATTCCTTTTATAAAATTTTATAAAAAAAATAATATAAAAATGATGGGTTATATAAATTATCTGCTATGTAACTATCGATATTAATCTTAAAACCTAATCATCTCTTGAAATTTAACAATATAATTATTATATTTGAATTAAAAAAATGTTATTACTAAATAATGGGTAACAAAATTGTTATATGGAGGAAGCTAGAAGGAAGAAAAAAACTAATATTTATTAATAGGCCTTTTTATATATTAAATTTATGGCTCTCATTTAGGCATTTTCTGGAACGGAACATTCCCAGAATTATCGTTCCAATTTCGTCCTTATTCTATAATTTCCCCCAAGTCCCTTTTCTGGAATATGTCCGGAACTTTTCGTTCCATGTCCATGATCGGAATATAACAACAATCAAACGAACGTTTAGATATTGTTGAGGTGGTCAACATGATGTTTATTAATATTATTATTAAAGTTTAAAGTTATAATTAAATAATGATTATTTACAAATTGATTTTATTATTTTACCTTAAATATTGTAAAATTAATACATTTGGAAAATTTTGTTCAAGTTTGTTCGTTTTTTTTGAGGGTAATTATAAAGATGATAACGAGTTTGTTTCCCTAAATTAAATGTTTATTAAAATAAAAGTATTAAATTAAGATAAATCCGCTAATAGATATAAAGGTTCATATTGGTTTCGAAATATATATCGTTTCGTTGCGGGTTTTATAGATGGATTTTTTAAAACTGATCATATTTTATTTTATTAATTGACTTGAACCAAAAAATCGAATAAATATTTTAAAAAAGTTTGCAATAAAAACGAAATAAAAATTGATATCTTAAAAATAAAAACTAGAGCTATGCCGATATTAAATATCATATCGGATCGGCACCGATATTTAACGCTTTCCAGAAATATCGGATCGGGCCGATAACCTTAAAAACCAGATCCGATCTTTTTACTTTACTTTTTTTTGTTATTTTATGTATATTTATTTTACATTAATAATATTTTCTAAATAATTTTTTTTTAAACAATGCAAATGCACAGCACCCCTTAAATTTAATTTATTTTTTAAAATAGATTTATAGTATTTTAAAAGTTTTTTTATAAAAATAGAAATGAACACTCAGAGTTTTATTTATTTTAAATCTTTTTAAATAATAACGCCAATTTTATTATTTATACTTTAAATAAAAGAATTTTTTTAAATATGGTATCTATATTATGGAAATATTTTACAAAAGACAAAGATATTTTGCAAAATGCGTTATCTGCGGAATTCTAATTTCACGGGGAGGAATCATAAAAAATTCATTTAATACTACCAATTTTCGTAAACTTTTTAAAATTTATTATAGAAATAAAAAAATTACTATTTTTTACATAAAAAATATTGATTTCTTAATTACATTTGGTTCTTAGGTTTAAAATTAATTGGTTACAAAAGCTTAAATTAATAAAAAAATAAATATTATTTATGTAAATTACCCAATTCATATTAAAAAAATGGTGCATTTCATTTGCTATTTTTATAGTTTATATGATGATATAAATGAATGAAAAAATATATGCTTAGAAACACTATAAATGGTATATTTTTATATTTAAAGCCCTCCGGCAGAAATCGTAGACGCTTTCGCAGCCCTGAATGACAATAACCGAACGTACAACGATTCAATAGCTCGAAACGATAAATTGCGCGCTTCTAATTTCGACTCCTTTGAGAGAAACGTGTTTAGGGATTACAAAGATTTCAAGGAGGATTATTCTGACTCTGGAATCAACGAAAAGGACAAGCAGGAAGCCCTGAGGGAAGAAGCGAAGAGACTTGATAAATACAAGGTAATCGAAATTACTTTAATCAGGATGTATTAAATCATTGATTTTTTTATAAAATAAGACAAAAAATTAAAAATTTAAATCGTTTTTTTTTAAAAAAGTTGGATTTTATATGACCAAAACTTTAAACTTGAGGATTTATGTAATATCTTATTTATATGATATCCTGCTTTCATATAAAAAGTAAATTTGGAACATTTTACAAATATAAAAATATTAAAAGATCGGTTTCATTATAAAGTGCAACTTTTTTAAATTTAATAATTTTAAGCATATAGGATACTGCACTTAAAACATGATGAAAATGAGGAATAATACTATTAGTATAAATTTTTATTTAGGAAATATTTTAACACATAGATAACTTTTCATATATTTATTCTTTTTTAATGATTTAGAGATAATAAGTTTAAACGAGAAAATATAGGATAAATTATTTTGCTAATGCTATATTAAGTAGAATCCTGATGAAGTTAGATAAAACACACTAACAGGTACTATTCAAGCATATTTATATTTAAGTCAATAGCCAAAACTATGTAAAATTTGTGAAGAAATCCTAAAAAATATTCATAAAATAATTTGTCAAAAAGTTATAAATACTGGATTCAAGAAAATTATCGAACATATCAGATTGTAAAATATCAGATTCTATCGAACAATGACTGGCACACCTTAAGAATTAAACACCAAGCCAAATAGAAACATTGAATAAAATATTTCTTTCTCCTTTCATAATAAATAATGTCTCGGACCTTAATAGGTGAAAATTCTAAAGTACATTTGTTGTCACTGATAATGCATAAATAATCCTAATCTTCAAACAACTCATTGGTATAGCAGCTTTGGTGCAAGAATGTTTTACTCTTTTTACCTTAATTCGAATAGAAACAAGCTTGGACTAAAAAAGCTGGAAAATAAATTTTCTTTTAAAAGAATAAATGATAAAATTGTATATATTTAATTTGTTGTTGAAATTTACATTTAAGAAGGAATACTAGTTATATTGATTTTTTAGTACTACAAATATAAGATTTGATCACTTGTTAAACTGCTAAAATAAATTTAAGTAACATTCAGATATTTGTAGTTAAATGTCAAATGATTTGTATGATGAATTTTGATAGATTAAATTAAATTGAAATAAAATCGATTTTTATTTTCAAACCATGCCTTTAACCCTACTATTAAAAATACACATTATCTGAAATAAAACTTAAAAGGAGCATTATACGCCTTATAAACACTATTATCATTATTTTTATGTATACAAACAGTTAATTAAATTCTAACGTTATATAATTACCTTCTCAATCGTTTTTCTTCTTTTCTTTTTATCCCATCATCATTATATGATTTTTGCTTCATTAGTAATTAGATTTACTAGTTCTGTAAACATTTCTAATAGAACGTGTAAATATTCATTGACAAAAATCGAATGCTTTCAATGTTCGCCCTCCAAAAAAGGAACCATTCACGTTCGTTCAAAACTGAATATATTTTTTAACACAATATCCATGTTTTAAATTAATAATTTTATTTTGATACAGATAAATACAATATAACATAGTTAAGAAAACTATTTTTCTTTATAAAAAATTTTCTTATTAATTTTTAATATATAAAATTTATATATCAATTCTAAAAGATATTAAGAATTTTATACATTTAATAATTTTTACTTTATAGGATGTTACTAAACTATTTATTATATTTGAGTAAACTATAGTATAGGACAGATATTGGTGGGTTAAAAAAATTTAAATGTGACAAAGGAAACTGATTAAAAAATAAACCTTTTTTCTTAAATTCGGATTAATATTTATTTTCAAATGAATAAAAATAAGCATTTTTTAAAATTGAACGAACTTAAAACATGAATGCCTTCTTCAAAAAAAAGGAAAGCATTCACGTTCAAAGTTCATCAAAAATAAAAGGAACCCCAGTCATCATTTTTAAAAAAAAACTAACTTCAACAACATTAGTATTTTCTATAGAATATTACGTGGGTATAAAGCTCTCGTTTATTTTCCTCTTTTAGGGGTTGAAATTTCCACAATGTTTATATATTAAAACAATCAAATTATATATTGTAGTTGTTCTGGATTGCACACAATTACTACTTATATAATATTGAAATGTAAATACATTTTTTTTCTCGAAGCAATCTCTTCAACCCAATGCTTCTAAAAGCCAATCAACTACACCAATTCATTCCACCTACAACATTAAACAACCACAATCCAACAATATCAAACCAACTCCAGCGATAGATATTTTCGACTCCCTCATGGCAATGTCTCCTGAAGAAAAATTTAACAAAGCTAATAATTTTGGCAATTTTAACAACCTCAACGGAAACATCCTTCCACCTAATAATAATAGAAGCCAAAATGCTTTTAACCCTAAAAATGATTTGTTTGCGACAGATTTTGACGCTGTATTTGACTTATCACCCTCCTTGCCTCTTGGAAATAAGATGACCAATGGTTTGTTTTTAATTTATATGCTTAAGATATTTATAAGAGAACAAGAAACATTGCAGATTCTTAGGACCCGAGATCAGAACTCTAAAAGTGTTAAAACTTTATAAGGGTTGGTTCTCTCATATTTATAATATATGAGACTTGCAAAGAAATATATGAGGCTGTTTTGATCTATATCAGTTAAAATCTTGAAAGGAGAGACCATGTCTATCTAAATTTCATGACTTAATGTTACAAGACATTCTCACAATTAACAAAGTCCTTAATTATACATAAAACCCTCTCATGCATTTCCATATAGGCCATTTCTTAATATAATAAGTCTTAAAATGATATATAACAAATGTAACTGTGTTCTTCTGGAATCAAGGGGCTTAGGAATAATTTCTATAATATATCGAACATTCGATTATGTAAATGATAAAGTTAATTAATTTTTTTTAAATAATTACTCATCTTTAAATATAAGGGCCAAACTCATAAATTGTTTATTAGGGTCGGGTTAAATGTAATCATATTTAATTTTATTCATATGAAGGATTCATTCCTAACGATGGCTCCAACAACCTTTTCCTAAAGCCTAAAAATGAAAAACCGATTATGAAATCACCTTCTTCACCAATAAACGACGTGGTCAATTCCAACAAAGTTATCGTTAAGGGGGATTTGGAAAGTAGTCTCGCCAATCTAGCAGCTTCCTTTAACATACAGAGTCACGATCAAGCACTAAAAAAGTTTATTACTTTTATAACTAAGAGTAGAGACGTAAATTCCTGGAAAATTGGTTCTGGGGAAATTTCCCCGGGCCGGAAAAATTGTGGAAAATTGGGAGAAATAACGGAAAATTAAAAAATAACCACAAAATACACTTAAAACCTTTCAATTTTTTTTATTGAATAACTATTAAATTTGAGGAACTAAGGAGAAATAAAATAATTAAACAATAAAGACAAAAATACACTGTAAACGTTTCATTATTTTTTTGAATAACTTTAGTAATTACAAGAAGCACATATTTTTAAATTTTATGGGATGATAATGAATTAGAATCAACTATATTGTTAAATCGGAATCTGAACTCTTTTGATGATATCCCGAACATGATGTATTTGTTGTGTGACCCTTTAAATGTATGTTTGCCTGATTGATATTAATTCGACTCTTTCATTCTTTATTCTATTTCTCGTTGCGAAAATTATATAGCCAAGTCATTATCGCGAAACTTAAATCGCGAAGACAATATAGCGAAAACTATTTCGCGAAATATATCGCAGCCTAATATTAATTATTATTTTTTTATTAAAATAATTTATTTTATTTATATTATAGGTTATTGCCACTTTATATTTATTTTTTTTTAAAAATTAATATATTTTATTTAAGATATTTTAAATAAGTTTTTTCTACAAATTTTTATTTAATATATTTTAAAAATATTTTTTTCTACAAATTTTTATGAGATATTTTAAAATAGTTTTTTCTACAAATTTCTATTTATGATATTTATAAAAAGTTTTTTCTACAAAATTTTGTATTAGGGGTAAAATAGACCCCACCTTTTTTTTAACTTTTGTAGTAAGGATTAAATCGGTGGTGTGTGATGTATGCTTGTAAACCGAAGGTCCCAGGTTCAATCCTGGTAAGGAATTAAAAATTTTCGGGGGTTTCTTCGATGACGGATGGCTATAGACTATGATAAATTTCTGAGCTGAGAAATGCCATCCCGGTCACCGACAAGCTTGGACAGCCGGGTGCTAGATACTTGTCTAATAAACCAAAAAAGACGGCCAGCTGAACTCGTGGGTCAGATGATAACGATTTCTTGGCCAGCGCTAGGATGATGGTGACCTCGGGGGCCGTTCAAATGTCTACCAAGTTACAATGGACTTGATAGCGATACTCTGGTGGGAAATACAAATGGAGATCAGAAATAGAAATATAAATTATAATAGATAGCATGAGTAATAAAGTGGAGATAGATAGTGAAGGAGCTTACCACCAGAAAAGGTGAAAGCTAAAAAAAATAGTATTAAATGACGCAATTTGCAATTTTATTCCTTAAATTGAAATATATTATTGAAATTTATACAGTCGAATAAAAATATCAAAACGATTTATCAATCGATATTTTGGAGTATTCTTATCGATTCCATTTCTCCCACTGGAGTATCAAGATGGATCTCCCACTGGAGTATCGCTATCAAGTCCATTGTATCTTGATAGACATTGAGCTTGAACGGCCCGAGGTCACCATTATCCTAGCGCTGGCCACGAAATCGTTATCATCCTTTAATGACCCACGAGTTCAGCTGGCCGTCTTATTTGGTTTATTGGACAAGTATCTAAATATGAATATATCATCTTAAAATACCAGAATGATTATTGGTTAGCGCTTTTTTTTATATTTGGGTGTAAATACAAGTGAAAAACCTAAAAAATTTTTAAAAAATATAGGTTTCTTTGACATTTAATTAATGAGTAGGTTTAGAATCGAAAAATAATAGAAAATTTGTATGGCACATATTTCTGGCGTTATTGATTAAAATCTCTTCATTTTTGGTTTATACGTGTACATTTAGGTGTTAAGCATTATCCTAAAAAACATTTTAAAAATATTATGATTTGACCGAATGCCGAGCACAAAACCGACCAAATATTAAATGATCGATCGACTGAATTTGATAGTAATATTAATTGAAATATGTTCCATTTTGTTTTATTTATCTATAAATACATGTAAAACATCCCAAAATATATTTTTAAAATATCGTGATTTGACCGATAACCAATTTGACACTGGCCCAATGACTAAATACTACATTGCCGGCGTTATTCATGGGAAATTCTTTATTTTTGGTTTATACGTGTACATATAGCATTATCATAAAAAATATTATGATTTGACCGAATGCCGAGCTTAAAACCGAAAGTGGCATTATATTATGAAAATGGATTTCTTTTATTTGATGTTTTTTTAATTAAAAAAAATGATAAGCTGTATTGTAATATTATTTTTTTACAATTAGTGATTTTCACGCCGAAAATTTAAGCAAGAAATATTTTTTGAAGTGCAAAAAGATTTTTGAACTATTTTGATTTGAAACAAATTTTAAATCTTTTTTGAGGAATTCTTTTGTGAATTTTATTATAATAAACAATCTTTTAGGTGAAATCTTTTTTAGTTTTTTAAATCATTTTTGTAAAATTATCTATAAAAGGTGGATTTTCTAAATAATTTTTTTTAAAAATATTTATATTAAACCTTTTTATGTTATTTTATATGATCTTTTTAAGGATAATATTTTAATGTGACAATTGTTATATTTGTTATTATTTAAGATTTTTGAAATTTTTTGACCAAAAAGAGTAAAATATTTATATTGTAAAGATGTGAAATTATAAATTCAATGAAGATGTTCCTTGGAAAAATGACATATCATAATTAGATTTTTTTGACGCTAATGGAAAAATATGTATTTTTAACATGTTAAATTAAAATTTCAATTAAGATGTATACCATATAAAAGCGACAATTGTCATAATCGTAAAATAATTATATTTTATAAAATATAAATTATAATTTTTGCAATAAAAATTTTATATTTAATTTATATCAAAGACCTGCAGAGGTACCATCTGTACGGCCCGACCCGGATTTTTTTTCAAAGATTATTTTTGGCCCAGCCCGGGTTTTTTTAAAAAAAATTTCAGGCTCGCCCCGGATTTTTTAAAAATATTTATTTATTTTTATAGCTAATGGCGCTTTCAAATATTTGGTTTTAAAATATACGGCCCGGACCGGATATTTTTTAAAAAAAATTTCATGCCCGGCTTGTGTACCCTGGGTTAGGGCCGGGCCTGCAGGTCTCTGATTTATATTTAGTGAATATTCGTGAAATTTCCCTACCTTTAAATCTCTAACTAAGAGTAATAAAAATATGCCTTATTTATGCATAGTTATTTTATACCAGTTTTTGTTCTGTATATTAATGATAAATATATATATTTTTAAAAGAACAACTCATCAATGGACAAATAACAATACCAATATATCATCATCTAACGCTTTCCCTCTTAGGTCCTCGCCTAACACTATGACTAGCCTCAATTGGATACAAAATCAACAAGTTAGTATATTATATTTAAAATTATAGTTTATCATGGTTTAATTAACATAATTCTATGCTTCTATGGAAGGGGAAACGAAATCATAATAATTAGTAAATTTAAAATGAAAAACTGTACTAAATCATTAATAATGTATAAATCTGGAATTAAATTGTATATTCCATTTTCTTTAAGGTCCAGACATAAGATCTGAAAGTGATTTCGATTTTCACCAGATGGTGATAGATCTGATCGCATTCAATCAATAATTACTGATAGACGCAAAATTCTCTTCATTTTTTTTTAAAATATAGCCAAAATTCTGATAAATTTTATCTCAAAAGCCAAAAAAAACATTTTAGTTGTTAAAAACTGGATTAATTTATTGGTTTAACAAATTTTATTGTTTTATTTGAAAAATATAAATGAATGATGTTATATTATTTATAATCGGGAACTCGGAAAAAAAGCATTTTTACATTCCTGTTCTGAACAAAATAAAGTATGTCATTCCATGCCTCGGAAGGTTCTAGAACGCGTTCCTTTTTCTGAAACCAATTAGATGGTCCCGTCCAGGGTGTTGGGGGGGGGGTGATTTATAGAATATCGGAAGCCATCACATGATTTCGCCTTAAATATTAAATGGGTATTATTACATTTTAATAAAATTTGGTCTTTTTTAGCAAATAACTTGACAACTATTACTAGCCTTTCAGTATTAACTTTGTAACAATATTATTCATAATAATTTTAATACAATATTAAATTTATATTAAAATAGTTAAAATTATTTCAAATATGATTTAGATTTTTTTGTAAATAATCTTAATTTTAAAAGCTCATATTACAAAATAATATTGTTATGGAAGCAAACTGGAATTAAGAATTTAAAAAACGAATATTCTTGAATGAGTTATTATATTTAATTATGAAATTTTAAATATCATTTTTTGGAACATTCATGTCAAAATTTCGGGAACGTTCCCGAGATCACCGTTCCTGTTCCCTTCACGTTCCATAATTTTTTCCACATTCCCTTCTATGTCCCAGTTTATGATGCCATATATTCCATTTTTTACATAGCAACCTTCTACTATCAATGATAATTTACCCAGTAGTAACTGGGCAACTTTTCAATCTACATCTCCGATAAATGCCGCCACTGGTGTCAAAAATCCATTTCAACAGAATCAAGCTCAATCTTCACAACAACCTTTGGTTTTTTTACAAACTTCTTTAATATATATAACACTGTGTGACAAGAAAAATGAGAGAAGAAAATAAAAACACACGTCAAGTTTTAAAAATATTACCGTATAAAGACAACTTTTCGAAATCTCAAAAATCGTAAAATTTAGACCTTTATACGGATATATTTTAAAAAGTATCGAATAAAAATCCCTGAAAATTGGTGATAGTGTCAAACTTATATTTCTTTATAAATTTACTAATTTTTATAATTTTTTATCGATTGGTTTTTGAGAAAAATAGTAAAGAATTTCGTTTTGGGGTTCTTAAGTTTTCAATTTAAATTATCAAAATTATTAACTTTAGAAGATAAATTTTATATAATTTTGCTTCAAATATGCACAAGATTATATATTAATTCAAATTATGTTTCAAAAGTACTCTATGCTATGAAAATTCAACCAAAATCTATAAATTAAAAAGATCGGTACATATATTTTCGAACTTTTTAATTTGTACACTTTTATTGAATTTTCTCTACATAAAGCATTTTTAAAGCAAAATTAAGGTAATATTTATCTTTTTTAGTTGTATTTAGTAATATTTTATGCATTTATGATCAATTTATACCAAAATCAGATATCTGTACCCACTTTTTTAATTTGTACTCTTTTTGAATTGAGCAGAAGCAAAATTCATTTAAAATGCAATAATTGGTAATTTTTTCATATTTTTTATTAATATTTACCTTTTTTAGATGTATTTAAGAATATTTGTTTTTGATTTTCCAATGGAGTACCTTGAACCCGTAGTATGGGCAATAAATAATAATGCCAAATAACGAGTAGGAAGAAAGGAGAAGAATTATTTTTTTCGCTTAATTTTTCATAAACATAATTTCTTTCATTAATTTTTTTTTAAAATTGGATTTTAAATATTATTCAAATTCCCTCCTTATATAATATTCTACAAAAAATTAATGCCGAGGTCCCCTTGTTTAAAGTGTATCTCTAAATTTTGTAGCCCGCACAAAATCGTCAAATTTCTCCAATCATTCAAAGGATTTATGAAATTTATTACAATATTCCACTCTGCGATTTGGATAAACCATTTGCCCCTAATTTCATTTGTAAAACATTTTATAATTCCTTTAATTCATGGGTAAGTGGAAAACGGTCATATTTGCCTTATTCGAAACCTGCATTTTGGCACGTAGCAAGAAATCATTCGTGGGATTGTTATTTTTGCTCGATTAGTACATTTGGGTTTAACAAAAAAAATAAGAAGAAAATTCGTTATCCTGAAATTACATCGGTTGTTTATCCGGTAAAATATAATATGCATACAACAGTTCCTTTTTTTAATAGTTCGCAGCTGGAAAAATTACGTTACCAGGACAATGACAATATTGATCTTGAGTATCATCCCGAAGAGGATTCGCCATTTATGTCACAAAAGCAAATAAATGACATAACCAGAAATTTACAACTTTCAAAAAGAAAGTCCGAATTTATAGCCTCAAGGCTTAATGATTTTAAAATTTTAAAAAATGTAGTTCGAACTTCATACCGATTCCGTGGAGCATCGTTTAAAAATTTATTCTCTTACGAAAATTTTTTATACTATTCCAACAATCTAGGTCAACTTTTTTTACAACTTAATATTGAATTGGTGCCCGATGAATGGCGCTTGTTCATTGATTCAAGCAAAAATAGCTTGAAAGCAGTTTTGCTTCATAACGGAAATTCTAAGCCATTAATTCCCATCGCCTATTCCAACCAGTTAAATGAATTATATGAAATATTTATTGTCAAAAATAAATTATTCCATTTACGAATTTAAGATATGCTGCGATCTCAAAATGATCGCAATCCTGACGGGCCTTCAGTTAGGCTACATCAAGCATTCATGTTTTCTTTGTCTCTGGAATTCCAGAGAAACTCTAAAACATTATACAGTATCTGAATGGGAGGATCGTCCCAACGTTCTTGAAAAAAATCGCGTAAATATCCTGCTTGTTTCTAAAAATAAGATTTTGTTGCCTCCGTTGCACATAAAATTAGGACTAATCAAAAAAATTGTCCGAGGGCCCCACGATATACCTTAGAAATTTTTTCCCCAAGCTTTCCCAAGCAAAAATAAAAGAGGGGATTTTAGTGGGCCCCCAAATAAGAAAACTCATGAAGGACAGTTTTTTTGAAGATGAATTGTTGCTCATTGAATTAAAAGCATGGTAATCTTTTAATTGGATATGCAGATCGTTCCTTGGCAATCATAAATCAGCCGACTATCGTGAGAAAATTGATGATCTATTATAAGGAAATGGGATGCCGAATGTCCCTCAAAATCCATTTTCTTCATTCCCATAAAGATTTTTTTCTTGAAAACTTAGGTGCTGTGTCAGAAGAAATGGGGGAGCGGTTCCATCAACAGATAGAAAATCTCGAAAAGTTTTATCACGGCAAGAATCGTATAAATATGTCGGCGGACTACTTCTGGAGTAACTTTTTTGAAGATAAATCATCAACTTCATATTCGCGGAAATATATTTAGATTTACCATTAAATGTTTTTAAATTCGATAAATTTTATGTTATTGTTTAATTTGTTTTAAATTCAATAAATTTTATGTTATTGTTTAATTTGTTTTAAATTCAATAAATTTATTGTATAATACAAGTTAAATCCTATATAATAGGAGGGGGTGGGACAACGGACCGATATAAGGTTTATTAAAAGTAAAATATGAGTTAGGTTAGTTTACCATAATATATTTATTTAAATATGAGAAATATAACTATTTCATTTAAAATAAATTGCTTGGGAATCGTACCGTGTGCAGCGTAGCGAAGAGAACGAAAGCCACAATAAATAAATATATTAAATGCAAGCTATATTAAAAAAGATTTTATAAATAAATATAAATTTAAAAAATATAGGTTGTTTAAAAATTGAGTAAGGATTTTTAAAAAAAAATGTATAATAATAATAAGGAAGGTTTGCTGTAAAAATTAAGATATTTTTTTGGTTTTAGGGATCATAAGAACCGAAGTTATAAACCTTCAAAAAGTGCTAAAAATGACCTTCTTAGCCACTTTAACCTAAAATAAATAAAAAAAACCTGACATGCTAGAAAAAAACTGACAGCGGATTTAGAATATGCATAAAAAACTGTCTTAAAACATGTTTATTTTATTTTCTCCCAACAAATCAAGTCGAAATTTGTCACACAGTATAATTAATACTAGGGATGTGAACCCTTGACAAAAAAAAGGGTCCGGTAATAAATTTAAAAAGGACCCGGGTCCGGGTTCAGAGGGAACATAAAAATAATGACTCAAAATAAGACTTTTTTTCATTCATTTTTTATTATACTTCAATATATACACATTTATAATTCGAAATGAGATAATTTATATTTTAAATATTTTATTCAATCGCACAATCATGATATCTTCAAACATATCATCCTTCAGATTTCCACGTAAATTAGACAAAATATATTTCAACGATGAAAATCCACGTTCTACGCTTACCTAAAATAGATAGTCATTTTTATAATACATAAATTATTGTACTTGTGTCGCCGGTACAACCATGACGATTCTAGACAAGGTATATAATTCTGGATATATTGAAGAATTTTCCTCCCAGAATTTTAAAATGTTTGCATCTCTATTTATTCTCTTAACTTCCGAGAACTTTTCTATTAAAGATACAATAGATACTCCTTTCTATCAGATGATAATTTAATTTTTTTTCTCTATCTAATAGTAAAATTTCCAGATCATCAATATCGTTATCATTGTTATCGCTACAACCAGTAGATATTGTTGTAGCCTTCAATAAATTGTAAATAATAGAGTTTTGTGTATGCCATAAATCTTCAAGATGGTCTATAGCCATTTGTTTTTGCTCACTACTTAATCGCGGGTCTAAATATATCGAAACATATACAACACTATTTTGTAAATATTGTTGCTCTCTTATTTTCATATTTTCTAATACTTCATTTGAAAAAGAACTTGTTAATCTCCCTAACTCTGATCGACATCTTAACCATATGCCATAAAAATCCGATAAACATAATTGTTCTGCTTGCAATCTTAATGTTGTTATTTTTAAAGGAATCAGCATACTAGTAAGCTCTTTTACTTGATTCCAATCATCTTCTGACAAAATGATTTCACATGCTCCTATGATAAAATCTTTCAAACTTATAATCGCTCTAGCATCATACATATAGAGGACCAACGTGTTGTGCAATCTAAAATTGCCATTTGCCTTTTCATGGATTTTAATATTCTAACAATTGTGGGAGTTCTTAAATATTTTACAACATCCCTTGCTTTATCAATTATAGTTTTAAAGTGACTATTTTTTAGGGAATCATTAATAGCCATTTGTAGCGTATGGGCTGCACATCTGATGCAGTATATTTTTGTTGAGAAATCTTTTATTTCCTGCAAATCAATTTCACTTATTTCCTCATAATTATCATCATCATCATCTATATCATCAATTTCTTCCAGTGAACATTCATTTAATAATTTGATTGATTTTACTAGATTGGCACCATTATCCGTAGTAATTGAATAAACGTTTCTTATAGGAATATGAAATTTATTTAATGTTTCTAATATCATTCTTTTTTTATTTTCAGAAGTTGAACTCTCTTTAATCTCCTTCATAGCTAAATTTCTTAATATTATATTATTTCCTTTTATATACTGTATATTTATTCCTAGAATATTTCTCCCTAATCTTTGGGTGGAATCAATTTTTAATGAAATTAATTTGTTTTTTGTTTCTTTTATTATTTTTGCTTGTATTTCTAAAGCATTCATCAAATTCTCCTCAGACATTTGAATATGAATGCTTTTTTAAAGCAAAATTTTTCAATATTATTTTCATCCTTCTTTACAATACTGACAGTAGACTTTGTAACAATGTCTTCTTCCAAAAATTTGGTTTTTCTATTTTATTCCTCAAAGATTATAGAATGATGTCTTTTTAAATGTCTTTCCAGGTTAGTATTGTGTGAACCTTTTATCATTAGGTGGCAGGTTTTGCACTCAGAATCCCCTTTATTTGCATTATAGTACTCTAACAAAATATCTTTTAGTAAGTACAATTCTTCTTAATGCTGTTAATTTTATAAATTTACTACCTAAACGATTATAGCCTTTTATATTAATATATATTAGTGTCAGAAAATAATTTTATGGAAAGGTTAAGAATGCACAGGAACCTCTGGTGCAAAAATGACTTAAAAATTGGATATTCTATAGAAAATAGGAAAATTTGGGAGGAAATAGGAAAACAAAACTTGAATTTATATCAAGTGATAAAGAAAATTTTAGCTGTAAAGGCTAAATTTATTAAATTATAATTTGGTAAAAATAAAAAATTATAATTTAATTTAAAAGGTGCTGGAAAATTATATAATTTCTATCACAATTTTATTTAAATAATAATTTTTTATATATATTTTATGGAAAAATTATCTTTCAAAATAGATTATATTATTGGTTTTCCAACTATTTATTAAATATTGATATAATTATTTACAACATAGTATTTATTAAATATATAAATAAAATCTAAACATAACAATTATCAAATAGGTTCATACAAAGTTAAATAACTGAAAGGTAACATAAAATAATAAATACAATTAAATATATACATATCTTTATCAAGCATTTTGATATTTTAATTTTTTTAAAACTTAAATGTGTCTAAAGTGTTTTGATATTAATTTGTGAAAATTTTAAGGATTTTTTCAAAACTTGGATGCAGCCTAAATAAAATAACTAATTTTTTTGATAGATTTGAATATATTTGATAACTTATAAAAAAATTATATATTTGCAAAACACTGCCAATTTTGATTAATTTAAATTTACTGCTCAAAAAACATAACCTTAATATTTTAACACTGCAAAATAATCATTAATAAAATTTTTATATAAGATATTAATAAATTAGCCTTTAAAATTAAAATATTATTACTTGCAGTACAAAATAATTCCAAATATTTCACTTTCAAATCAAAATAGTCAAAGTATTTCAAATAAATTTACATAATAAAATATTTTTACTTACACTATAAAATAATGTATGGTATCAATATCTAAATAAAATGAAATGAAGTCCAGGAAGAAAAACGCGAAGATAAAATAAATGATTCCACGAAAAAAATTATAAAAATTTTATATTATTTTTTAAAAATTATATTTTTTTCCATTAATTTTAAAAAAAAAATTTTAAGTTAAAAATTTTTAACACCCTGAACCCTTGGACCTTCCACTTTTTAAAAGGGTCCGGGTTCAGCCAAAATACGAGGGTCCGGGTTCACATCCTTATTAATACTATGGGTGTACCGATACCATTCTACCAATGTTTTAATTTTTAATATACATTTTATTAGTACAACACCTTTAATTTAACTATACCATAACATATGTCATTTAAATAAACTATTATGATCAGTTATAGTTTATATTCAATTCAATTGCAATTCTAAAAGTAAATAAAATATTTTTATATAAATCACTTATTAATATAAGTAATAACATTTAAACAAATATATTATGAAATTTGAAATAAATATTAAAAGTTAATATATCGAAGATTTCTTTTTAGAAATACCAAGATTTCCAATTTATCTGAGGTCAGCCTGTGTATTTATTTATATTATACATTAACATATTCCAAATATTATATAAATCAAATTTTAAAATATGTTATCACACACTATTATAAACAGAATGCGCAAAAAAGACATAAAAATGGATTTCAATTTTATTTATAAAAATAAATGGTTTTTTAGATATAACATTTTTTTGTTTAAAACGCCATTTTTTATTGGATAGGAAAATTTTATAATATTGGCCGATAATCGATATTTTAAAATGTGTGAAATATCGGCTCGATCCTATCCGATATAAAATATCTATATATCCCTAATTAATACTGTAGTACGCCTGTTTAAATGCGAACAGTTTAAACAAATCGAATAATTTTGTATTCGTACAAATGATAAAATTTATTATTCATTCATACTTGATTAGAATAATTTGAATAGTCATTTTTCTTAAATTTTGTAATCGATATGAAAATATACTGAACAGATTTTTAAAAATTGCATTATTGTATTATTTGGTTTAAATTTCTCAATAAAGTTGGCAGTTATACCTAAAAAGGGAACCTGAATTGAGATGGTCAAAAAATTTATGAAATTTTTCTGTCCATTATTTTCTTTATTAATTCTCTCTTTACAAATTGATTATGCATATGTAAATTAAGAGTGCTAGTATAGAGATTTTCGATTAATCAAGATTATATATAAAAATTTCTGAATTTACCGTTTTATAGTAAAATTATCTCCAAATAAATCTAACTAGTATTAACAACATTAATTAGTATATTATTATTTATAAATACTTTTTAATAAGTTCTCTTTAAAATTCATTTTTATACAAAAAAAAAGATATCCGTTTTTACTACAACTCTATGAATGCAATTATAATGATTAATAAGTAGAGATGTTGTTATTCCTTTGCATTTTGTAAGTTTGCAATTAGTCTTTTCACGATCTTTATATATTCATATTATTTCCGAATGCCCCTTCTTTTGTAAGGACTTTTTATAAAATCAAAAGTCAACGTCTCCATCTACGCTAAGTGCATCATTTAGGTAGTGAAAATTCCTTACCTTTTCTAAATTTGTTCCATTTCCGATCTTAAAATTAGTCATACTTGCACCACTTTCCACAAATGTCATGCTTGCCTTCTGCAGATTTCCTATATACCACTTACCTATTGTGAACCCATTTACAACAGCAGGTTTAGTGAAGCCTCTAGCAATACGCCACGTGATGTCTTCTCGATCTTTTCATTCGCCTCCAAACAACCTTCGTCTTTACTATCTTCATTTTTAATCCCTTCTTTTCCTTAACCATCTTCTATTTCAATTATTTTATCCTTCAATTCTGTCTAAACTTTCGCAACACTACTAGATCGTCAGCCTCCAGTATTTCCCATGGAAGTCCTTTGTGCGTCCCTCTAGCCACTATATCATACTATAAAAAATAATGAACAAACTCAAGACTGTTACATGATTTAACCATATATTTAAATTGAAACTATCACCATTTCCATCATTTGTTCGAACCACCGTTCGTGATTCTTCGTACATCATCACTTTAGTTATTAACCATTCGTCCACATTTGATCATGGGCCCATAAAGTAAAACCCAATATCACAAAATATAAATTAAATAAGATGGATTGTATGAACAATATAAAATAGAAAAATAAATTCAGAAAGAGCGTACCATTCGAAAAGGTGAAAACTTAATTATCTAAAATTGTCATAAATTTAAATCGGACAATGTATTTTAAGAAATTTTTTTTATAAGATTTAAAATAAATAGAATTTATAATAAATTACATAACGATTTTAATTATATTTTTTTACTAACTCTTATTTTTGTCACCTTAAAAATATGATCAAAGCTGACCCCCAATCTTACCCTCTTGACGCCGATGCAAGCTACCTCTACCTTAATTCCCACCACTTCCTTCATATCTTCTTCGAGCTCCTCAGTTCCTAATAAAAACCAAAATACTTTGAACCCTTTTATTTCCCTTCAAAGTAGTACTATAAACAATTATAATTACGGTATTCATCAACAAAACTCCCTTTCCACCTCTCTTTTCAATGGCGCCAATTCGAACTTCAACAATCTATCGACTCCCAAAGATAAAGAAACTTTTAAATCACTAGATAATTTGAACGTTTGGCCCACTGGGTTCACGAACAATAGTAACATCGCAACAATTAACGCTAAAAACGTTGATTTCTCCGAGTTTGGCAATGCCGAAAACAACATATGTGGCTTATCCAACGCAAAGAATTGCATGTTCGCTTCCCAAAAGAATTTGTTTTCTAATAATGCAAGCAGTAATCAAAACAAAACCAGTCCAGTTGATCCTTTTGGATTCTAAAAAACAGAAACTTTCAAATTTATGAAGAAAATGAGGGTTAAAAAATATTTTTATATCTAAAAAAATTAAAATATTTTTATATCTAAAAAAATTAATTGAGCATCGTTTTTAAAATTAATTTTTTAACTATAAGTTGCTTTTCAAATCTATTGATCTATGACATACAAAAAAATGTTTTTAAATAAAAAATAATTATAATTTTATGAACGCAATAAAAATTGATAGTGAAATTTTTATTAAAAAGTATTTTAATAGAAACTTTTGAATAATTGCATTATATCCTCTTTTCCTGAGAAATATATCTTTTTAAATATGGCAATTATTTTCTTTCATTGAAAATTTATTATTAAAATATAATCGTGAATTTCAAAAAAATTGTAATTTTATTATTTGCTTTCAAAATTTCGTTTAAAATTATATATATTTTTTACTTCGTGATTTTATATTTCATCAAATTTTATAAAATGATCTTATTATAAGATATACACTTAACACAATTCAAGGTTTAACAACTAAAAATATTTTATGTTCGTTTTGGTATTATTTTTTTATTCAAAATTTTTTGACACTTAGCACAAATTATATCGACAATGAACTTGTATAAAATGCTTATGTCTGTTTTAAATATTAATTGTTTTATAATAACTCATTAATAAATTATTAATCATCTCCCCTAAATTCTAAAATAAAATTTAATTGTATATTTACTTTATACACGTCTTATATTTTTGATTTAGAGTAGATAATTGAATATTTTTAAAAATAATATCTATGGAGGTTCTATTTTATATTTATGTTGATATTAAGTTGGGTTCACATCAACCAATTTAACATTCTAGTTTCAATTACTTATTTTAATATAAATGACAGCTCTTATGATTATATCTTTGCCCCACGGCCTATAATTTATGATAAACTTGACGCTCATCACGTCTCCCCGATGTAAAAATTCCATGGCACGTTAGTGATATATTTTTTTAATATCAATTATAATTATTAAACTACATTTATAGAAGAAAAATAAGGAAATTTACATTTTTAAATTATTAAAAAATGGGCATTATTTCTTAAAATTAAATAGCACTTGCTATAAAACATTTTATTTTTTACTGTAGCTGTATTTTTTATTTTCAAATGACCTTAACTACACTTAAAAATAATAATTCCAATGCAATAAATATAATTTATGTAATTTTTTAGTAACATTAAATATATTCTTAGTATACTTGAAATATGATTCCCTTTCTTCAAGCTACTGAGCAAGCCCATGCCATATTTTTAAGCTTAAAGAAACAGGATCTTAAATTATTTACCTCTGCTTGGGACTTGATGGAAGAACTTAAATTTTCTTAAAACCTTCACGAATACCGTTTAATTTTTGTCACAGAGGATGCCCCAATTATAATCATGATAAAATAAAATTATAGTTATGAAATAGCAGCCCTTTTACAAAATATACGTATTAAATATAATCATTTTCAGGCATCATTTAAAATAAAAAAATTAGCAAATGACATTTGATGATTTAAAAGAAAATGTTACCCCAGATGGCAACATGCGGTATTACTAGCTTTATAAGGATAATCTAGCTATTATTTATAGATATAAGCTACTATAAACGAATTTATAGATATAAGCTACTATAAACGAATAATTTATAAATTCATAACCAGAATTTTGGGCAGATAATTTGTTAAACGTGACATTTTAGTCTAGAGAAAGAATGTTATTCATTATTTCCGCCTGATGCTTCAGATATAACTAGACCTGTGCGCCGACAAAACTATCGGCGGCCGGCGCAATTTTCAAAAATCTAATCGACGGCTGGCGGCGCGCCGATTTTTAGCCGTCGTCAATAAAATCGGCGCAATTATAAATTTTGATAACAAATTTTTTTAATTGCTTATTAATTTTTTAAAAAAAAACAAATAAATATACACTATTCTACATATATCTCGGCATATTTTTTAATATTCATTTAATAGAAAACTCATAAATCCAAAATCGATTTCGTAATTTTATAATTAACATGTATAAAAATTATTTTATATAAATTATCGGGACATAATGATGATCTTGAATTTAACGTCAATCCAGCGGTAGAGAAAACTCTTTCACTAGGTGTGCTAGTCACCGGAATGCAAAGAATTTTTTTGTCGAGACTGGAAAGTTCACTCTTCTTTTCTCTCCAAAAATTTAGAACGACCATATCTTGTGAATGTCGTTTTCCAAGAAAACTGTGGCATTCTTGTTCACTTGGAATTTATATTTGTTGAATGTTTATTTGCCAATTTTGTCAAATAACTTGAATTTAATAATTCATCCTCATTAGCTTACCTGATTATCATCATTCTCTATAAGTTTAAGATGTTTTATTATAAATTCTGAAGCTGAGCAATTTTGCTCTATTACTTTGACACAAATTGTCAATTTTTAAAATCTTGGATCTAAAAGAGAACCCAATACCTAGATAATTTTAAATAAAAAAAGGAATATACTTATATAATATTACTTGCTGATTACAAACCGGAAATCGTAACGCAAGTTTTTTTTAGCATATTTTCCTTAAGTGAAATAATTTCAGAACTATCACTATCATTTACTATTAAATGTGTTTCATTTTCACTTCTAAAAAGTAACGCCAAGTTTAAAGTAGGCTCTTTTAGTACTGAAAGAAATTCGACAGTTTCTTTAAATTTTGAAAGAAATGTTAATAGTTCTTCTACCAGGTCAGATTCATAATTTGAGAAAGTGCTTCCCAATTCTTTTCAAAACATTATTAATCAAATCCTTATTTAATCCAGATATGCTTTCTAGCATAATTAATATACTATGCCAACGTGTTGGGCTTGGGACATTTAATTTTAAGGTTTTCATATACGTGGAATTATTGTTATTATTATCATTGCAATTGCCAATTTGAAAACGGGTACTCGGGTATGGATCAATGCTGTCAAGATCTAACATGTTTGATGTTAAATCTAATGTACTTAGACATTTTCTTTGATATTCCTCGAATTCAAATTCAACTTCTGCAGTTTTATATCTTAGAGCAGTAATAATTTCTCTAATTCTTTTGCAAAAAATTTCCAGACTATGGATTTTTTATTATCCAGTTAGGATACTAAAATTATTTATAGAATTATTAAATGTAGATACATCCATTTTAAAAATATGTATTATATGGTAACTTTTGGAATTTTAGATTTTTGATTGATTGATATAATTATGATTGTAAAATAGTAGAAAATTTCATCAAAATCCTGATTGACATTAAATTACAAGAGTGATGTTGACCAATTATTAGAATAAAAAGGTATAAAATATGAAAGAAATTTCTGCGCCGGCCGTGACATGAAAATCGGTGGCGCGCCGGCGTGATTTTCTTAAACGGCGGCATTTCGGCGTAACCAAAAAAGGTCGGCGGCCGGGGCACACGTCTAGATATAACTAATGAGTTAATTCTTGGATAATAAAAGCTTTGGATCTTTCCGAACTTTTAGTTTCGGTTAGAAAATCTTGTTTGTTCCAGCTAAAGGCAAACCCAGGGAGCGTTTACTTGAACTAGAAGATCTTTAAATATATATAATAATTTTTATATGTTTATTTTTTAATTTGCGCACAAATTACCCAGCCCTTCAGTAAACGTGTGTAAATTTAATGTGACGATATGACATAATTAACTAAAGAAAATAATATTTATGCCAAATGCAATTTATAGGGGTCGGCCATATGGACCCGACAGAATTACCGATATGATAAAAACCTCTTAAAAAAATTGTAACTGACTTTAAATATAGTATAACGAACTGACCTACTCATTTTTTTAAAGAATTAACATAAAATTTAAAATAAAGATATAACGTAGAAACAGTTTTATAATATTTTATTGATTATTTAAAATAATTATTAATCGATTTATCACACATTTTAAATATTATATATATCATTTTTTTCTTGTAACATACATTGAGTAATATTGAATTTTAAGTGTATTTTTTGAAAATTTTGTAGGTAAAAGAATATTTATAAATAATTTGAGGTAAGAATTTCCAATTGTATTTCATCGTCAGGGAATATAACATATTATGAACATTTAAATAAAGAAAATAACAATTATTTAAGTTTTAATATAATAAATTTTATTATAGTAGTTTTTATTATATGAACACAAAACTTACTTTCGTTTCGAAGGCTAAAAATATTGATTTTTTGATAATAAAAAAACCAAAAATTTTATAGAATCTATTTTCCCCATTAGACCTAAACACAGCTTCTAACATGTGTAAATTAAAATAAAATAAATAGAATAGAATGTGATAAATAACCCTTAATTATTAATGCGGTCAGTGGTGTAACAATCTTGGTGGCAGACTACCACAGCTGGGAATATGTTTTTTATAGATTATTCAGAAGTGAAAATTAAATAAGATGGTGCCAAATAGTGCTATACATAATGTTTAAAAAAAATTAGATCAGATAAACATTTAAAAATCGATCGGATAATATCATTTATATTTTTGGCAAATAGTTATTCCTGTTTTATTGATGAACTATTTAAAAATAGGTCAAGAAATTTTGGATAAAAATCTTTAATTTATATTTTTGCCTCACTGTAGATATACGGACGATAAATATAAACGTTATAGTACAGGTCAAAAAAAATTAAACAAGACTGGGTAGGATTACCTAGCACCCCAAAAAGGCTATATATTAGAATCAAATGAATTTGTAGCTTTCATATTAAGATAAATTAAATAAACTCTGTAAGGACTTTTGTAGATAGCCAGTCATAGAATTAAACAATCGTGATCATCATAATTTAGCTCATGAGAGAAATATATAAAGAAACAGCTTACTCAGAGCTTAGTTACACCCATATATTGATATATAATAGTGAAATGATTCAAGTATTTTATTGAATTAGAATATACCCATGAAAATAAATTGCATTCAATTATTATATCCTTTAGGGGGGGGGTTAACAATTAAATACATGTAAATTAATAAAAATGCGAAATGTTCAATATTTTAATAACTTCATTATATCAAAATTTTGAAAAAAATAGAAGCTTACAACTTCAGTTAATACTTAATATATACAAATATTAGTTCGAAAAAGGGGGGGGGGATTCTAAACAATGGATTGTCGCCTTAATTTCGCAAGATTAATGTCACCATCTGACAAATATTTAACCTAATCGATGTCCGGAGAAAAATTTGCAGTTAGGTCTTGAGCAGCGTTGTTACGCCACTGAGTGCAGTTATTTAACTTTATAAAAAAATTTTCCTAATCATTGATTAAAGTTAAATATTATATACATTATAAAATTTTAAATAATCAATTTTACTGCATCCAAAATATTTAGACTGAGATTTTCGTGTGACGAGAGTAAAAAATGGAAGCGATATTTCTGTTTTATAGTAATAATCGAAATGTTAAATTATAAATAATATGGATACTTACGAGCAAATTTCATAAATGCATTCGTCACTAGAGCAAAATAATCTAAAATAGAAATTAAGGATATTTTAATAAAAATAAAGTGAATAATTTTAAATGCATAATGAATTAAAACAATTTATTTGAATTTAAAATTAAGTATAAAAAAGAATAAAAAGGCACTATTATAATTATGATTAAAAAAATTCCCTTTACTTTAAGGCAAGGATTAAAATGTGAGAAGAACCATGAGACATTGCATTGATATTGGTGGCTTCATAAACATCAATATTCAGAGATGATATAATTTTTCTAAAAAAATAAAATATAATGTCACAACACAATTGATAAATTTTAATTCAAATTGGCTTAATATCTATGGGTATTGGTCGATATTTCTTTAAATTATGATTATAAAATTTGAATACTAGATAAAATGTAAAATAGAGATAAAAGGAATATTGAAATACAATGTTAGAAAATATGACAGACTGCAAGACCGTATCAAAGCTACGAGTCGTAAAATGGTATATTTTTTAGGCCCAGGACGGCCGAATTTTATAAAAATAAATTGACGAGTTGAGAAATCGCAAGTTGGATCATTTAAACATTTATTTTAAGGTTGGCATTAAGAATTTTTTAATTTTTGTAAATATAAATTTATTTAGTTATAATTTGATTTAATATTATTTACCAGAGTTGTTAAGATACCTTTTAAATGGATCTAGATACAGATACATCGTCTGAAAACATATCTACAATTTTAAAAAATATTAGGCACGACCCATCCCGAACCGAAATTATTTTTAAAAATAGACCATGATTTGTAGTTCTCTAATATAAAGCACTTTTCAATAACGGTTTAATTAAATTTAAGTCTGATTATTTAGCTCTTGGGCATATTATTCAAAATATTTTTATTTACTTAATTTAAATATTTAAAAATTGTGATTTAATTAAATAAATCGATTTTTAAATTTTTACCAAAAAATTATAATTTTTGCTAGTACCCATTTATTTGCTTCTCAAATTTTTGATATGCCTTTAAATTCCATTTACATAATTCAGCCAAAATTATTTAACCAAATCCTATAAACCCCGAGCTAAGCCAAATAATATAATTCAAATCGGGCTGAAAAATCAAAATAGTTTAAATCAAAACTAGATCTAAAAATGGTCATCTCGATGAGTCTGAAAAAATATTTAACAAAATATCGGATCAGGTATTGACTAATATCAGCTTGATATTGCGAATATAGTATTGTCCTCTAAAAGCTTATCAGACTCTAAAAGCTTATCAGAAAACCATGGTATAACCAATTCATCGATTTATAAAAACAAAGTATAAAATGTATTATGGATTTTTATTTTATTTAACTTAATAATGTCGATAAAGTTCTGCTCCGATTCATCAACACGAGGAACTGACTCAATCCGAATATTGCATAATGGGTATATAAACAATATATACTGAGAGACTAGGGTTTTTAAGAGAACTTTTAATTCGACACAGACCAAGGAAATTTGACGAGAAGCAAAATAGATTAGGCATATTACCAAGTTCCAAAAGCAAATGTCGTGATAAACGTCAATCAACGTTCTAGTAGCGATGGAAAGGGTTACCTTATAACCCTCTCGTATACGAGTTAAACGTTCTTCTATCATAATAGGGCATGTACTTGCCACGAGGCTTGAATTTTCACCATCGCTTACATTTTTAAATTTATTAGAACTAGAGATTGGTAGCTTTTCTTCCAAATAATCTAACGTGAATAGGTACAATTTTCCAAATACAAACTCGCGATCATAAAGATCTTTCCGACTTGAGACGAATTCTAATATTTCTTCAGCCTCCTGAAAAAATGCGGGCAATACTTTCTGTAAGGTGAGAGGAAGGGCTGCACCACATTTATCGTGAAGATTACATTTCAACCTATGTAAGTTCCAGCTAAGAGGGTATAAATAGAATTTAAGATCTTCCAAAGAGTAGGTGTTAGAATGATTCATGTTAAAGATTAAAATTTGTCTGTAAAAATCTTTGGCGGATTTAAGGATCAAATTGTTATGGATTGTATTGGTGTTCTGGAAAGTTATAATTAACTTTTTGTTTTAATTTTAAATTGGAATAGAATTTAAAGATTTTAATACATGATAAAATTTAAATTAACTATTGAACCTTAAATTTTAATGAGAAAAATAAAGACTTCTTAAAATAAATAATGTAAATGTTATTCCATAGTTTCCTTATAATATACAAAAATGCAAAATAAACGAATATTTAATAGGCTAAAAATAATTTTAAACAATGCAATTTAAAAATAATGTTATTAAATCATATATTATATAATATTAGTCAAACTATCTTACTCGGTATCTACTACAGTGACTTAACATATTATATATTTCGATTTCTTTCCGAAGACCGTTTTCAATATTAACTTTCGAACCAATCGTATCTGATTTTGATATAGTTTGAGGTAATGAAAGTAAGGAAGCACAATATAAGCAAGTCAGGGAGTAATCCGTGATGCACAACCTCGAGATCAAAAGTTGAAAGAGAAATTGAGGTATGTCAATTGAAAGTTTATTAATAGGATATCGTTTTTCGTTTAATAATATATCCTAAATATAGTTTTTTTTAAATATTTATAATAATGTTAGAGTTTGTAATATCAGAAATCTTATAATTTCTTATTCTGCAGTTTTAACGTTTCCAGCTTTAACATTCATTTTAAGGCTTACGTTACTATAAGAGTTATATTGAATACTTTAGTTGCTTCTTGATGCTTATAATTTAATAAAACCGAGGCTACTTTCATCGGTGTACCGATAGCACTTTTTGGAAGACCGTTATATCGGATCGGAAATTTAATAAATATCGGCCGATAACCGATATTTGATAAATAGACAAGTAATCAATCCTATTAAAAAATATCGGTGCATACCTAATAAACCCATCTTAAATATGTAACTCTATAAAATAAAAACTCTAAATGTCACGAAGTCGAGTCGGTAAAAAACAACCAAGACGATTAGAAGTCTTAAAGCACCATAGGAAGTTAATTTGTGCAACGATCTATCAATACTCTCGAGAAACGAATTTAAGATAGAGCTTAAAGAGGTACGATTTTGGGCTTCAGAACGATGTTCCATTGATATGCGTGAGTACATTATATACTTGATAAAAAATGTAAACATAATGCATTTTAAAAAAAATTAACATAATTGTAATGAAGGTCTTTAATTGATGTGAAAATGTAAAAAGGGAATATTATGTTGATATTATTATATAAATTAAAGCTTTAAGTAAACTGTGTATAAAAAATATCAAATAATACATACTAAAATAATCAAATCAATACTATTTGGTGCTCGAAACAAAGCATGGTTGAAAAGTATATTTAACTTATCTTTGAATGTGACATCATACCCTTTATTCTCAGCAGGGAACTGACCTTTGGCGTTAGTATTATTCGATTCAATAACAAAATCATGAAAAATTAACATAAAAGCGAGATAGAATAACCACAATGTAGCCGTATCATCAATATTATCATTTTGATCATCCGAGACTTTGGGCGAAAAAAGTATCTCTATAAATCTTACAAGGAAACATTTGACTAACGCTTTTATTCGTTTGACTAGTATATCATTATAATTTATATCGAAATTGTGATTATCTAAGTTATGTCGATTTTTGATACAACTTTGACAAGATAATTTTTTAAATAAGTGTTCCACAAGATCAAGCAATACTTCAAGATCGCAATTGGAAACAACATCACTAGCATTCTTTAAGAAATCGGACTTTTTGTCAATGTTGTACTGTGTCGAATATAAAATTTCTTTATATAATTCATCTTGCTTCGAAAATTTATCCGTTAAATTTTCAGGAGTAGAAATTAAACGAATAAAACAGCCTTCTTTTTTGCGATATTTTCGTTTATTATGAAACTTAAGCTCGAGACCTTTTAACAATGTCACTTTGCAAACATCGATCAAACTTTTGACCGGTAGTTTATTGACTAAATCAAGCGCGTTTTGAAAATTCATGAGTAGTTTATCGTTCATGTAATATCTGGATTTGTTGATATTTATCCTTAAATTGGTTTTAGGAATCTGATGAGACTCTTGAAATTCGTGCATTTGTGGGTTCACGAACCCATTAAATACGTTGATAGAATCGAATTCTTTCACTAAAATTCAGGTTTAAAAAATAAAATTTAATGTAATTTTAATTTGTCTTATGTTAAAGAATTATAATACACAAGAAAAATATTCATAAATTTGTATTACACTTAGAGATTTTTGCTAATTTTTGTACATTAAGTGACGCGGCCCTTAATTTTGTCTCGTCGTAAGTAATGCCATCTAATTTTTCCATAAGATCATTGAATTGGATGTAATGAGGGTGAGCTTAAACAATTGTTATATTTTGTTAAATTGATATTTATTGTGATTGATATAGTATATATATCACTCCACAAGAAAGAAATATCAAAATTGAGTAATAAGAATGAAAGGTGTACAATCTTAGTAAAAATCATTTTCCAAAAGAATTTAAAACTATAATTTTGAAAGTAATCATGTGGTTGGTGACAATAATGTTTGAAAAATGATTTTCGTTCATTAATACATTTATATTAGGGCTGTCCCGCTATTAAATATCGGATCGAGGATATTTATCGCTTAAAAAATCAGATAAGGCCGATATTTCAAGAAATCCGATATTATAATGGTTATTTGTTATTTTATGATTGTATATATGGTTATACAAAATAATATTGCCTATTTTACATTATTTCCTAATAATAATAAATAAGAGGGACCATAATTTATTTATTTGTAATAATCTTGTTAAACGGCTCGATTTAACCGATTTTAAATTAAGATATTAGCCATAATAATATTACACAAGCCTCAAAATTTTGTTATAGATGTCCAAACCTTTCTGTCCTCTGTGAGCAAAATCTCAAGACTTGCGTTATATTTATGCTAAAATATTGGGTTGGTCGTTTTTCAAAGAAATAAAGCTGTTTAACAACATTAATTTGTAATATTTTGAAAATAAAATGAATACTATAAAAGAGTAGATAAAATGTGTTTTTATTATATTATTTTAAAAAAAAATATTTGAAATTTTGCCATAACATTGCACATATTTTAAAAGAGATGATCAACTTTTTGAGAATGAAAAAATATAATCAGTTATATTTTTTGGCAAAAAATGTTAATTTTTATTAAATTGGCTCAAAGGGTAGATAAATCAATTAAAATATCGGATGGGATCGGAACATTATGTCGATCGGCACTGCCCTAATTTAAATAATTGTAGATGATAAGAAAAATTATAAGATAATCTTTTATTTTAAATGCTGTAAATTAACAAACCATTCTTCAATATTTGGTTAATCGAACTGATACTTAATATAAGAAAATCTTCTAATGACAATTTTTCATTTTCGTAGGCTGCTAAATGATTCCTAAGTTCCGGCAATAACTCATAAATACTGTCAATTTGAGCTGGTCATATAAAATATAAAAGTTTCATAATAAATTTATTAAATTTGGAATGATAATATTATTGTTAAGAGGAAAAGAAAGTCTTATTTATACATACTCTTATAAGATCTAATTTTGAAAGGTGATAAATAATGGTTCCACAATAGACACTCGATTTTTTCCCTACTATAAATTTTAGGGGGGCTATTATCATTAGAAAAGAGATTTGTAAATATATGTTGATACGAGCAAGTTTCATCTTTGCAAGTTCCACGAAGCTCAAAAGGGCATACAATTTTATTTGGATCTATAGATGTGGTGTGAGCAATAGAGCTTAAAGACATTTTAGCTTTGGTTCTAAAATAAGGGCTTAATCTAAATTTATATTTAAAAAAAATTATAATATGGTATAATGGGTAAATTATTTTAAAAAAAATACTTGAAGGATTTAAATCTAATCAAGGGAGTGTGGTAATAATATTCGGGACATTGCATAGTTTCATTATTAAAAGCGTAGTCAGTTTTCAGTGTTTGCCCAATTAATGTGTTATAAATTAGTCTACGTGGTGTTAAGATAGTAGTTCCTGAGGTTTCGAAATTTATGTTGTCACCGGGTGCTAAGTTATCATGAGTGATCAAGCCATGATTGGTTTTAGTATATGATAAATTGGATAAATATAAATGGAGAATATATTGATAGATAAAATCAGAGCTAGGAAGAGTTTGAAGTTTGAAATTAAGATGTGAAATTTCATTACATTGTGGTTTTGATGCAAGAGATAATTGCTAAAAAAAATTTAAAAAATGCATTTTTAATAAATTAACAAAAAAATGATATAATTTAAATGCACCTATATAAAAATAAATATAATTACCTGTTCACCTATATTAAGATTTTCTTTGATAGCATTTTTATTATGAGTCTTATCATTTATTTTTAATCTTTTGGATTTGTCTGTTCCCTTAATACTAGTATTTACTTGATTTTCGATAAGGGGAGCCGTAGGTTTTATGATTTTATTATCAATTTTAAATTTGTTTGTATTGAAGGTATCGGATTTTCTTGAAGGCGAAGAAGAGGGAAGACACAATTTTTGATTAACCAATAGCATTTGGACCAATTTTATTTCTCTTTCCTTCTTAACCAAATAATCCGTGTTTAATTCGGTAAGCTTTTATAATATAACAAATTGTAAAACTATCGAAATGATCTGAAAATTGTTGATACAAAAGTTATCTTTATCTTGTATTTAAGATACAAATATCCACAATATAGCCCAACTCTAAGTCTAGTATCTAATATTATGAATAAAATCATTCGAAATTTTTAAAAAAACATTAAAAATATATGAGTTGGTGATTTTTATGTTAAAAATGTAAATTAATACTTAAAACCCCAATCATTTATATATAATTTAATAATATACCTTATTCTTAAGTGTTGTTACATGGCGGTCAGCTAGATTCAACTTTGTGTTTATTGCGAGCAATTGAGCTTCCAGCCCAGATTTTTTGTGCAATAAGACTTTTGCATTATTTTCTTGATAAGTTAATTGATTCTTAAACCGCTTAAAGGTGCTTCTGTTTTTTAGGCAAACTTTTCTGGTTATATTATTATATAAAAGAAATTTAAATCTATTTGAAGTGATTGAAATAACCGCTAATAATTATTTAGAGTATCAGAAAATTTCGAATACCATATCCCATTCACTAAATTAAAGTCAATTAGAATCTCGAAAGCAGAACAATTTTATTTGCAATATAGATTATTATTTAGATCCAATAATATAATCAGAGACCTGCAGGCCCGGCCCTGGTTTTAAAATAAACTGGACCGGGCTGGGCCTAAAAATTTTTTTTTTAAATACCCGGGCCGTGCCGTAAAAATTTTTTTTAAAATTTATACAACATGAATTATTATATTCGTCAATTAGATATGGCTATAATGATTATATATAGTTATGATTAATATAATGTTGGGTGAAAGTTAACACTAGCTAACACTCATAGTATCTATTACATAATATAATTATAGTTTTTCTGCCATGGAATAAATACGCAAAGGATAATAGGTAATAAATACATTTTTATATAATATACTAGATGATAGCCCGTCAAACTTTTATGCTAGTTGTTACCTGTTATTTGAAAATAATATCCAATTTTTATTCTTTTTACTCTCCCCCCCCCCACTTTAGGACAGGTTCAATCTATTAAAACTAAATGTAAATACTATGGTAGGAGTAAAAATAAATTTAAAGCCTTTACTTGATAATACTAATATTATTTGTTAAATATTACTGATCACTTATACCTAATATTTAATATTAAAAATTCCCAGGCAAAGTACAAAGCCATAATAATTTCGAAAAATTCTTCCAAGCCCAATGAAAGATCATAATAATTTTGGTAGTTGAGAACTGAAATAAACATTAAATTAATCATAATGAATTAAAAATACAATCAAAATCAGATTTTCATGGGCCTTGTTTTTTTGATCAGGCCAAGCCCAGGCTTGCAAAAAAATTTGTTTTAGGCCAATGTCTGATCCATAGTTAATAATAAAAAATTCTCAAGCATCCAAGCTCATAATAATTTTGAAAATTTTCCTTAAGCCCAGCCCAATATAATTTATAAAAATATTTTCCAAGCCCAGCAAAACCTATAATAATTTTATAAAAAAAATTTCTCAAGCCTGGCCAACCCATAGTAATTTTCAAAATTTTTCCCAAACCTGGAGATAGGTAAATCTCTAATAACCATATCTATTTTTTATACTATTTTAACCCAGCTCACCCCAGACAATGGTCAACCCATTAAGACTGAAAGTGAATACTATTTTTTTGAATAAAATTATATTAAATTAGTTTTTACCTGAGGGCCATATAATTCTGTGTTAAATATTACACCTATGCCTAATATTAAAAAAATTCCCACGCACTTGGGAAAAATTTCTCAAACCTGCCAAAGACCAATTTTGGTAGTTGAGAACTGAAATAAAATATATAAAAAGTCACAATGCATTTAAAAATACAAACAGAATATGAAAGTTGCATGGGCCTTGGTTTTTGATCAGGCCAATTTCTAGCCCATATTTAAAATTAAAAATTTTTCAGGAATCTAAGACTAATTAATTTTGAAAAATATTTTCCAAGCCCGGGATAACCCAGAATAATTTATTTTTTCATTGGATCCAGAAAAATAGTCCTGATGTAAGGGGTTTATAAGAATTAAATTTGTCTAATATGTACATATTTTTTATTTGCCATATTATATTATTGGGAAAATTTCTCAAAATTATCATCAAATGAAGGGGAAATATTTGTTTACCTATCATTCTACTGGTTAGCTCCTGGTATTTATATGAAATTCATGTTTGGAAGTAAAATTTACCCTTACCATCAAATATTTTGTTACAATTGTGGATACATATAATCATTCAAAAATTCACTAATCTATTGAAACAAATACTAAGCACACTATTTATTAATTATATATTTTCTTATTTTTCTATTCTTACCAATGTAATTAGCTCTGATAGTAGGGTAAATTTTACTGCCAAACAGTGGATGCAAATTCACTGCACTCGATATGTTCCCTTTTGGGCGATGGAAGCCACTTAATTAAATTTTATTAAATGCAATGATATACCTTAAATTTTTATATTAAATATAAGCACGCTATTTATTAATTATATATTTTCATATTTTTCAATTTTTACCAATGTAAATTACTATTAAATGCAATGTTATACCTTAAATTTTTATATTAAATATTAACAGTTGAGTCTTTAAATCTTCCATCAAGTTAAATCTGAAATCTGGGTATATATTTGAGTATCATAATAATATTTTCAGAGTTTCCATATGATTTATAAATAGAACTGACTGAATGAATGCTTAGTTTGTAAGGTGATTACTATTGGACCGATTACGCTATATTCATTTTTATTGGACAAATATATTTTCAAAGAACACTATTGGCTAAATTTGATTGACGTTTTTTGAGGATTATTATAATAAGATGTTATATTTTTTATTAATTAAAATATTAGTTTTTTTTTTTTAAATACAATTAATATAGTATATTCTTAAAATATTATTTACACAAATTTAAAAAAAAATTAGTGTTGTTAAACGGCTCGTTTTGAGCGGATTTTTAAAGATGGCTACCACTGTATTTTATCCAGAAATATATTACGCAAGCCTGAAAATTTTGTTCATAGAAGGAGCAAAGGTCTAGACATATAGTATCGAAATTTCGAGGCTTAATTGAGTTAGCCGTTTTTATAAATCGGCTCAAAACGAGCCGTTTAACTACATTAGCTAATATGCTTGCTTATTAAATGATAATACTCGCCGAAAAATATGATAAAATACCGAGTAGGTAAATTTTTTGTATATAACAGGTCGAATATAATTTTAAAAAATTCCGAGCCGGGCCCAGAAATTTTTTTAAATATCCGGGCAGGGCCTAAAGTTTTAAACCCGGGCCCTTTTCTAAAAAAAATCCGGGACGGGCTGTGCAAATGGTACCTCTGCAGGTCTCTGAATATAATTAAAGTATCCATTTTACAAGATTCGAAAACATGTAGGCCAAATTTTGACCAAGAATTAGCTAAATTTTTCAAATATTAAATTGATCCCGAGAATGAATGGCAAAATTAAAGATGAGACTAAAAAAGATATAAGACAATGTTAGAGTTTAGGTCTAGAGGGGATATATATATATGGAAAAAATGATTAATTAAATATTCGTTTTATTTTATATTAATTTTTATTAATTGTAAGAATAAATTAGAAAAAAAATAAAGATATAATGTTAATTTCGATTATTTTGAATTTATTTATTAAATTTCCAACAAAAAAATGTAAATGGAGTATTTAAATATCAAAAAAAAAATCATTATGATTTGTTTGCATTTTGAATTTATCAAATAAATTTTATATTAAATTTTTTTAGATATATTAATAATATGATAAATTGTCTCTGAAATTTTAATAAAATTGATAAGTTTACTGTAGATTTTCCCATTTTAAACATTTGCACGAGTGGAACACTCCAATTCTAGATCGACGTAAGATGATAAGGTGAACATATTTTAATTTCTGATTTTTAATAAGGTCTAATTAAAATGATTTAGTTTTTAATTAATAACTAATTATTTAAGAGAAAAAATGGTCAAATAAGTTCGATTTTTGTACTTAAAATTCCTATAATCTCAAATAATAATTGTCAACGAGCTAAAATGTTGTTTTAATCGAACTAGAATATAGTGCCTGCATGTTTTTATCAAAATTGAAAAAGGTGGGTTGTGAGTTTGATTTAACATAGAATTACTCTTTTGGTGAATCATAGTATGGATTCATTCAGTTTCAAAAAAACATATCTTCATATAATATAAAAAAAATTTAACGAAATAACAGACGATAAAATAAAATTAGTTTGTGGCAATAACAAAAATATGATGTGAATTCTTTTATTTCGCAGAAACAACAGTAGGCTGTCCTAAGGCCTACCACAAATTGAATATTAAAGATCGAATTTCGTCCATCAAATCAAAACATTAGTTGTACCTTAAAATTATATTAATTTCACAGGTGTTATCGAAATAACAAGTTTATAACGAAGACTGAATAAACAAAACTGTGTAGATCAGGCCTAAAAATTTTTCAAATTTGAATTTAACATTAAAAGGTTTGTGTAAAACATAATGTATATTCTTTTATTCACCTGCAAACTCCTAATAATTTTTGCGCCTTTTCCCTGTGAACCAAACGGGTGCTCAACAATTCATCATTAATATTAATTTGCGTTTTTACCAAGGGAACGGTTTGGGGGCTGTTCATGAACTAAATGATTAAAATGACATCAACATACAATTATAGATCATAAATTGATTTATTATGTATATAATAGTGATATACAATCCTGCAGACAATGAACTTATTAACATTCAAAATAATCATAACTTAAAATATATGACGTTCTCAGAATCGTCAGCCTAACTTATTGATAATATTGTTTTTTTAAAAAAATAATTATTAAATTTAAAAAAATTACAAGTGAAGACGAGGATTGTGCACCATGTTTAACATTCTTTCCATTTCTTACATCATTTGCACTGGTTTTTGAAATGGGTATATCGGGGGAAGAACTTGAATCACTATCATAATTACCATTGATCTTGCGTTTCAATGGAATGATAATAGGTTTTTGTTTACATTTCGGCTTGATATTTTTTTAAACGAATGTAATGCTTGTTTTATATTATATATATATATATCAGAAGAATAAAGGACGATATAAAATTAATTTTAAAAAGAGTTATATATCGTAAATTCTAGGTAGAATAATTACTGCTGTTTAATGGCTCGATTTTTAAAAGCGGATAACCCAATATTTTAACCAAAAATGGCAGGCCTGGAGATTGCTCATAAATGGCAGAAAGTTTTAGACATCTGTTAACGAAATCTCGAGACTTGCATAATATTATTTTGCCTAAAATCACAATTTAAAATAGGCGAATTCGAGTCGTATAACCCATTAATTGTTACACTTTATTCCAGCCGATGAAAATTCTAGATTTTTTCAAATTTTATTTATTTTAGTCTAATTAAGAAATCAAAAAAAAATCGGCACGAAAAAATCATCCTAAATAGGAAATCTGAACAGTTGCATAACTACAACTGTAACGTTGATAATTAGGTGTATAAAAGTAAGGTAAAATTATATTATTGCAAAAAATCGAAATGATAGATAATTTTAAAATTTATTTATATATTTTAAATTTATAAGTACAATTTGTAATTTTTATATTTTAGGAAATTTTTTTAAACAATCACTATGTATTGGTATTTGACACATGATACATATATATATATCTTGCTATGACAAAGCTTACAACGTTGCCTTTTGTTATAGGGTCATTCCATGTCAAATCAATTACTTTATAACCTGACCATCTCAGATTTTGTTAAAATTTGGTATTTAAGTTAATAAAGTATTGTAATTGACGATCCAAAATATTAGATTCTTAACTCTATCAGAACCGGAGATATAGGGCTTCAAAGTGGCTCAGCTTGGTCATTTTTCGAAAAAAATGATTTTTTAAAATTGGGATAACTTTTATATTAGATGTACTATGTATATCGATTATAGCTCATTTTATAGCCCTAAGTAAACTCTTGAACGTATGTTATATAAAATTAATTTTTCAAAATGTTAGACTAAATTTTTTTTTCCAAATTTCAGATATTTTGAAAATTTAAGAATGGGGCCAAAAAAATTAATTAGGAAAAATCTAATTTTAAAAAATCCGCTAGATGGCGTAAGTAGTTTAAAATATCAATTTTATCAATATAAGTCAATCTAAGAAATTTTTTTTATTCCATAATAAAATATTTATCGAATATTTAATTAAATTTTCTTGAATTTAATATATAGATAATAAAATTTCATTAATAAATTATCGATTTTTCGAATAATTTTTTCCCAATAATTTATCGATTTTTTTATCTGTTACTTCCTAAAATTTGTAATGTTAAAATTAATTAATTCATTAATATATTTTGTACAAATCCATTGAATCTTCCAAATCACTATTCCAAAAAAGGTTTAAGAAAAGGGACGATTTGGATAACAATTAGGGATGGGACCAATACCAAAATAATATTGGTTTACAATACCAATATAAACCAATATATATTTAAATATTGGTATTGCTTTTACAACCAATACCAATTACCTAAATATATTGGTTTTGATATATTGTTTAAATACAATTTTAACCAATACCAATATTAAAAATAACATAATTATTTGGGTTTATCGTGGATAATTATATCGTGGTATTTTTTTTACTTTCATTGCAAAAACTGATTACATCTGTTATTTCTTCCAAATACTACTGTGATATCAATATTTCTGTTATTTATAATTATAGTTTATTTTTATTATGGAAGTAAATTTTTTACATGATATCTATCAATTTTATCTATTTATTTAGGATATTATAATAAATGAAGACCAAATAGAGTTAATAAATATAGATGCTGTTGGTACTAATAATAATAGCGATAATGAACAAAAAGAATTATCAATATCTAATAAAATACGAAATTCAGCAAAAATCTGGGAATTTTATATTACTTGTGATAATAAAAAAAGGCAATTTGTAATAAATGTAAAAAAAGAATATCACTTCAATTTTGGAACCTCAGGATTATGGACACATCTTAAATCCATCCACCCAACATTATATAAGAAATGTTCACTAACATTAGTTTTTAGAAAAACACTAAAAATAGAAATTATGAAACATTATCATAGTTCTTTTATCAATTTAAAATCTGTACTTTCTAACATTACATCTAAATTTTCCTTAACAATGGACATTTGGTCCTCTCCAAATAAAATACCCTTTATGGGCATAACAATTCATTATATTGATAATGATTTTAAATTAAATAATCATTTATTAGATTTTATTCCTTTTAAATCAGCACATAATTCTATTAATATTTTTAATTCTGTATTAAAAGTAAAATTTGAAATTGATTTTTTTTGCATTACATTAGACAATGCAAGTAATAATTTAGCATTTCTAAAAATTTTAAAACAAAAAGATAATTTTGATAATGTGTGCAAATGCTTTTGCCATATTATATATTTGGCTGTCATGGCTGCATTGGAACCCTTAAATACAACTTTAAAAAAAATAGGAAATTTTTAAACTTTCTATATCTAAATTTAATAAACTCGAGAAAATATATCTTGAAAAAAATCCACACTTAAAATTTCCTCACCCAATTTTGGATATACCAACACGTTGGAATTCAACATACCAAATGCTTGAAAGAGCAATATTGCTCAAACCCTATTTGACAACATATACCAATCATTTACAAAATACCAATCAAGAAAATTTTATTAGTGCCTTAGCCTGGAATAATATAGAAAAATACCGAAATTTTCTGGAACCATTTAATTTTGCTACAGAGATGGCCTCATGTGCTAATACTCCAACAATTTCAACAATTATTCTTTTATATTCCAGTATTTTTGAGCATGTGGAGAGTTATAATAATAATCCTAATGCTATTTTAAAGACAGCTTCTTTAGCTGCCTTAACAAAACTTAATAAATACTATAATTTTAATAAACACCTCTTTATTATTTCAACAATGATTGACCCAAGATTTCAACTATCAAGTCATTTATTAAAGCATAATAATATGTAAACTCTTATTGGATATCTTACTAATGAATACAATATTTATAAAATAAATAATAACAATTCAGCGGAACTTACAAATGAAGCACAAAATAACAAAAAATTGTCCTTTTATAACAAAATTTATCAGGTGAAAGCTCATAATAATAACAACTTAGAAATAAGTAAATACGTAGATGAAGCCACAATTTCCAATGATACAAATCCATTAGATTGGTGGAAATTAAATAAAAATAGATATCCAATATTATCAAAAATTGCCAGAGATTATCTAGCAATTCCGGCCACCTCATCTAGCTCTGAAAGAGTTTTTTCAGAAGGACGGTATGTTATAACAGACCAACGTTGTTCACTAGATGAGCATACTATATAAGCTTGCCTGTGCCTAAAAAGATGAAAGATTCTTCTTTAATACATAAAATTATTTCCTCTTATATTAAAATTATATCATTCTTTTGCATTATATTTTGTATAAATAGACAGTTATGTTACATTTTTAGTTTACTTATTTTGCTATGTTCTTTGTGATAAATAAAATGGTTCAAAATCAATATGTTTATTATTGTTGATACAAAAAATACATGATTAAATCAAAATTTTTTATATTCACATCACCTAATAAATTCCTAGTTTAAAAAAAGAATTTGAATTCAGTAAAATTTTGAGAGTTGGTTCTTAGCCCTGATTTTATGATATCATGATTTTTTTTCCCATGTTTATTTAAAATTAGAAATTAAGGGTTTTATAATCACTATTTCTATTCTTTTAATTAGTAATTTGAATTTAAACTAATACCAACCAATATAAACCAATAGTAAACCAATACCAATAGCAATACCAATACAAGAAATAGAAAATATTGTTTAATACAATACCAATATTTTAGACCCAATACCAATACAATATTTTGTTAATATTGGGTTTTTACTATTGGTTCCCAGCCCTAATAACAATGTATCATAAAATTAACAAAGGAGAATATATTTGTCCTATCGCAAATGTTTATATAAAAAGAAGAATAGTATTACAATTTTAGATGATAGCAACATCCCTACAACTTCAAATAATTTCTTAAACCTCCATCGATATAGAAAATGATTATCCAAATAATAAGGACAATGCACAACTCCCTACACTTTTTTTAGAATCCTTAAATTCTACTTTAAATCAAATGGAGCATTCTTCAATAAAAAAAAAGACTAAGAGAAAAAGGATATCTCAAGAAAAAGCTCAGCAAACTTGATAATTTATATGAAAAAAATTATCCATTATTGCCTAAAACACAAAAATATCAATTATTAACGACATTACCTCCAAATTGGAGCATTCAAAAATTAAAAAACAATTTAACGCTTCGTTTTATATGATCCGTAATTCAAAATTCATTCTTGGTCGAGGGGATTCTTTCATCTTCTAATCCCAAGGTAGGTAAAACCATAGATGAGAGCACAGTTGACGTTGTAAAAAGTTTCTATTTAAACGATGAATATAGTAGATTACTGCTCGGAAAAAAAGATTGCCTTTCTATAATTGAAAATGATGAAAGGATTAATGTTCAAAAACGGTTAATTCTAAATAATTTAAAAGAAATCTATATAAATTTTAAAGCTATCTACTCTTCTCTTAAAATCGGATATTTAAAATTCGCCTCATTGCACCCTAAAAATTGCATAATACCAGGTTCAAGTGGTACTCACTCGGTTTGTGTCTGCCTAATCCATCAGAATGTTAAGTTGCTAATAATAGATAGCAATCTAGCAACTTTAACAAAATAAAGACTTATAAAGACATAATTCCAGCAATCCTCCCCTGCCATAGAAAGCTAAGAACTTTACATGTTGATGCAACTGTCATCATTGAACTATCTTTCAATCGAACTACAAATATTTCATATGTCTTTCAAATCGGTAGTCGTAATAGCCCCTCTCTTTTTTTACCATAGCTTTAATTTTTTCTAGGGAAGAATTTATAAGCCAATTTTCTCTTAAAGTCCCAGTTGCTAAAAATCCAAGATACTTATAAAAGCCTTAGAGATGTTAAAAAATTATCGAAGTAAATAGAATGCAAAGAAGGTACTTAAATTTGTAACAACCGTACCTCCTAATCCAAGATTCAAAGCCATTTGGCTCTTATTTTTACTTTGATATATATATTAAATACAAATATATATCCATCGGAGGAAGCAAGGGTTAATGATTTATATCCAAATCGAATGGGTTTACCTTTGATAAACATTTTACAGGAATGTCTTTCTCGATAAGGTACCATTAGTGTTGTTAAATAGTCGAGTTTTTACGACTCTGAACTCAAGTCGAAGTCGCAAAACTCATTTCGAATTGAGCGGCTCAATGAGCCGCATGAGTCACTCGATGAGTCGGCTTCAGAGTCCCTCTATATATTATACTCATTAAAGTTGTTTACTTAAAGCCGACTCATCGAGCCGACTCTGAAGCCGACTCATGCGGCTCATTGAGCCGCTCAAATTGAAATGAGTTTTGCGACTCAAAACTTGACTAGTTTTTAGGCTAAGTCGACTCGACTTAGCCGTTTAACAACACTAGGACCCTTTGCTCAACTATGCATAAATTATGTAAAAATATACCGAATTGTTGAAACTTTTTTAAAATAAATATATAAATGGGCGGAATTTATAAAGATTATCTTCTTTATCAAAAGTTAAGTTATTAAACAAATGTAGATTCCTTTTGATATCACGAAATGTATGTTGTGTCATTGAATTCCTAACGATTGGTATAGTAATATTATTGTCATTCGACCAATAAATTCTTTCTTGCAGTAAGAAATGATATTCAGTTAGCAAAAGAATCCTATAAATCTTTTCATCTCTGATTCGGTTGTTATAAAATTTGGTCTATTGTTTTGTTTGGAATAATTATGTGATTGATGCACAAGTAGTGAATATATTACTTGATCAAAAAATAATTCAAATATTTCTATTGTAGTTTTCCAATCAAATCGAATTAAAATTTGCATTCTTGATTTGTAGATATTGTGGTTTCTGAGACAATATCACCGTTTCTGGATATTGGATTTCGATCTCCCTTGGAAGATTAGGTGTGTCAGTTAACAACTTATCTTAGTTACCTCGGTTATCATCATCGAAATCTTCTTCATCATTAACTAAAACTGCATTATGAGTATAATTACAACTTTGTTTTATAAACAGGACCTTCATCGAAAAGCATGGATAAGGCTTCAACAACTGTTAAAAATTGTTTTATCATAATAATATTTTAATATTATTTAAAAATTTAGCAAATATAAGATGATAATAAATAATTTTTATATTCAAATGAAAAAATATAATGAGAATAACAATAAAATAATGAATTTTCTGGAATTTTTTATATTAAAAATATCATGATGAAAAAATAGTATTTTTGTTTAATAAGAATATAAACAAAAATTTATAATAAAATATTATGCCAAATTTTTTTTATATAATTTTTTTTGAACCCTTATGTGGTAAACGTTGCATAAATGGTACAGTAAAATCATGATTATGATTCCGAGAATAGATAGAATGATGGACCAAAATTAATTAGAATAGGTTAAGGCATCTACAAGAAATAAATTTATGTCAATTGCATTAAAAAATAATAAATACTCTTTCAACGAGGGAGCCTAGAACATTTGGCATTTAACAGTCCCAAATTGTCAAACTTCAATGGCATCTAGGGCACTCAAACATAATTATATTTTTAAAAAATGTTTATTTATGTTATAGTACAATCTTCGAGCTATGAGAATCATATGCAAAATTATTTCAATTCAAAAATTTATATGTGAAAAATCAATAAGTAACAACTGTTACAGATATGGTATGTTGACCATTAATGGGTTAACAATACTAAATAATCAAAAATTCTACGTTTTCAATCATATCTCTCTTACTCTGACCAATTTAAAAAATTAAAATAGTTTAAGTTATCACTCTAAGCATATCTGATATATTTTTTTTTATGAAAATGTTTTTTGCTATTAAAAAATGTTCTATTTAGGACACATATAATGCACAAGTAAAAGTTTCATTTATGCTAATTTGAATCAGCAAAGCATTAAAAATTTTAAAATTTTACTCAAGGATATAGAAAACAGAGGAATTTTTTAAAAATGGGAAAAATATCTGAGTTTTGGATTAGATTTTATATTAATTAGAGCCCTTGCATTGGGTCTATTTTTTCAAGTTCCGCTTATTCAAGAAATTGGGCACCAACTAAAAATGTCTGTCCAGTATAGCTGGTCCTTATTAGGTCAAATCAGACTTGGGTAGGTTCATATAGGGCTCTATACAAGTAGTATTCACCATATTTATAATTATATATAAGTATCTTTACCTTATTTTTATTAATATTATTTATAAAATCTAACCAGGAGTGCTTTAAGGGTAAGCATTTTTTCCCTGCTAAATTTATTATCCATGTTTCTATCTGCAACCATTACAGTAGTTTTCTTATTTTTAACAACATTTGGTAATGATTTGGCAACGATAGGCAGAATAGGTTTTTCTTTATAAAGATTCTTGTAGTCTACATCTTTCAGCCCATATTTAAGGCTAAAATTTTCATCAAATTTATTTTCCTCATTTTTAGCCCTAGTAATTACAACATTTTCCACCTCACCTTTCTCAATAAGTTGTGGTTGTTTAATGATAATTGTCAAATCTTTATCCAAATATTGATTAAATTCGGTAACTTTGTTTGATCTCATATCTTCATTAATTTTTGTGTCACAATTCTTTTTCTCTATTTCTTTGATTTTTGGAGATTTAATTTTATCAATTTTTGCAAACTTTTTGGAAATATTTTGAGTTTCTTTTTTGGCAGGTGATATAAGAGTTGAAGACCACTTCTGAACCTCTTTTAAAAATTTATCTATCATAATTTCTTTGGTATTCTCATAGTCAGTTTTATTTGTGTTGTTTGGAACACTAGTATTACTTACTGTCCTACCAGTATAATTCATATTAATACTTGTATCAAAATAATAATCATTGTTAAATTGATTAATGTTTGCGCTAATGTCTTTTGCCATTGAACAAATATTATTGGATATTTCATAAGGTATGGGGGTGTTAGATTGGATAGAAGAGTAATCATTTACACATAGATTTAATTGTTCAGTGGGAGTTGTAGTACTTTGTATTAGATTGATTGTTGGATAATGCTCAGAAAGAATATTGCTATAGGCTTTTGAGGTTTGCTGTTAAATATAAAAATTTACAAAATAGTGATACATGATAAGGACTAATAATTTTAAACTTGTATAGTGCCATTGATTTTAAACGTAAAGTGCCATTAAATTTAAACTTTATGTATAAATGTTGAGTATTGTTTGAAATAAGCTAAACTTGATTTTTTTACTACTCATCTTTGCAAATAATATTAATAAAACACTTATAAATATATATCAAAACAAATTTCGTACAAACAATATTGTAAACTTGAGTATCTCCTTCAATATAGCAATTAACATTTTGAAAGTTTAGGCCAGGAATTTGAGGGTGTAATTTAAAATGATCTATATTATTTTCATTGTCATAGTGAAACTGATTCAAAGGAAAGTTATTAATGGTTTTTATAAAATTAAAAGAGTTATTTTCATATATAATATTATTGCCAAAATTGGAATTTTGATAATTTTCAATTTCAGCAATATGGTTAAGATAGTAGCTAAAGATATTAAATAAGGTACTGTAATCTAAATTGTCTATATCACAATTATCTTTTAAATAATTTGCCAATTGATCAAGATTTATATTTTGCCAAAAATTGTCATTAGAGTCTATTTGTTGTTTGTTAAAATTGTTATCATCAAAAATACTATAATTGTAAAAATTCAGATCCGAATCATCATTATCAGATATATCCATGTCTATTACTAAATTATCATAGTCAACTTTATCTGCTACATTAAAATTATAATTTTTGGTTTGATTGATATTATTTATATCAAAGAAAGAGTTTATATTTTCCCGATGATCAATGTCCTGATTAACAAATTCAGTGGGATAATTGTGATTAAAATTCAAAGCTTGTTCTAGATACTCATGGGAATAATCAGTTAAATTAAAATTATCAAATAATCTATTTAAATTAATTTCAGATTTGTTTTGATTATATATATAATTCATATCTTTCTTTAAAAATTTTTCTTTCTTTCTTTTGAGATGTGTTTCTTTTTTGAAATTATTTATTAATCAATATCAATGGGTAATTGTTACCTTTAGGGTTTGGTTTTACAGAAATGTTTTTTGCGGCTGATTCTAAAGCTATTCTACGAAGCTCTAACTCACCCAAATCTTCATTAAGCTAATATATAGAAATATATACTTTCTAATTGTATAAATTTTTACGTATTCCCATTTAAAAACATCCATACTAGATGTGATATTTGCATCCGATTGTTGTAAATGATGAATATCAGAAGCTTCAATATCATATTTACCAAGCTCACGTTTGAGTGTTATATATTCTTGCAACAATTCTTCATATGTCATATCATCCATTATGTTGATTAGAATGTACAAGTAAAATTAAGAATAATTGTCAGATAATTAATTAGAATGTTAGATCCTGACAACTGACAACAATGCTATAAAATAACTATAAAATATTAATAAAAATAATGCCTATGATTTTCATCAGTAAATAATATGTAATTTAGGTTTTTATTCTTCATATATTATTCAACCATAATTTTATTTCTCGAATAAATACCTTAAAATTACAAAAGTTTATTAAAAGTAATATGCTACATATTTTAATTATTATAATCGCTTTAAAATGATAAGTTATTTTTTACAAATATAAAACAATAAATATAGAATGGCACTATTGAACTTATTATTACTAACGTTTTGATTATATGAAATATAATAATTTTAAACGTTCTTTCTTTCTTCTTATTTAATATTAGCTCAATTCCTTCACCAAAAGAATAACATTTAATATATTATATACATACCAATTTTAAATTGAGTATAAATTTAACTTTACGTTTATAATAAACTCGTTTATACATACCAATTTATTGAGTATAAATTTAACTTTGCTTTTATAATAAACTCGTTATATTAAAAAGCTGCGTTGAGTTAATTCAGTCATCAGTTCTATGTTTTTCAAATTTTATTGTAGCCTTATCATCATAAAGCTCCATATTTATTTAATTTTATATTAACGTTGCGCTAAATAACGCAACGCTTGAACAAGACGTGATTAATAAATGATGCCGATACTATTGATGTCAGTTTACCTGTGGGGGGGGGGCAGTGTGCATCCAATCTTTTTCGATAGGGGTAGAGGGTGGGCGCCTCTAATGGGGGTAGGATTAATTTATTGGGGGTTATCTATTAAATTTTTAAATGAAGGGCCAAATAATTTCAATAAAAAATTAATACTTTTATTATTGACCTATTATAATACAATGATATAGCTAATCATCGACCAAATCTATATATTGTATACAATAATAGACATTATTTTTAAAATAAAACTTTTTATCATCCTTTTATGTAACTTAAAAGGGTTAGACATTCTCAGCATACTCATATTCATGCCAAACAATATACTATAATAATGCATTCATTATAAATGAGGGCAGCATCTACATGACAGGATTTTCACTGGATGCAAACCCCCTTCAAAAACCTTTGACTACCACCCCCCCCCCCCTAAAAAAATTACACTGCCGCGGCCGTGTCTCTTTATCATTATTTTCACCTATTTATTTATTGATACTCCTTTCAAAGAATTTATAAATGATAACTGAAATTAATCTATTTCTACTACCAACTATAGACATTTTATGAATATAAAGAATTTATTTTTTAGATAATAAATTCAATTAAAACCTCCATTATTTACAATGAATTTATTATTAAGGCATTATGAGCTTGCTGAAATATCGAAACCTTTTAAATAACATTTTAAAGGATAGGTTATTTGGAAAACAATGTGAATGATTGTTTGCAATATATAGATTTGGTCGATGAATTGTATTATAATAATACTATAATAAAAGTATTAATTTTTACAGCAATAAATTTTGTCCTATTTCATCTCAAAATTTAATAGTTAACTCCCCAAAAAATTTATCCAACCCCCATTAAAGCAGCTTATCCCATACCCCCTCAAAAAAATAGGTTGCAAACTGTTCCTATCCCTCCCGCTCATGTAGACGCTGAATGAGGGGATACTTTTATATTCATTATATTTTGATAGTTGGTAGTAGATCTTAAACAATTTAAGTTGTTTTTTTTTACGAAGGGAGTACCTACCATAATAATTAAAGTGGCGCAATTAATAATGTGGGATTATCGCCGCCTGCGAAATTATTTTAGAGGGGTAGGCATTGTTTGAGGGGGTCACCCAATGAAAATTCTGTTATGCGGACGCTGGATAATATATTTAAATTTATAAGAAGATACCAATATTTATATTTGAACAAATCTTAGACATCGACCTCACTCGATAGCGATACCACACATTATCAGAGTTGTTAAACGCTAATTTTAAAATTAGCGCGCTACCACTATCGCTATTTGTCAAAAAATGTAGCGCGCTACCGCTATCGCTATTTGTCAAAAAAAGTAGCTCGCTATTAGCTACTATTTTTTAAAAGTAGCTTTAGCTACTTTTTAAGCTACTTTTTAATGAAAAAAAATTACAAATAATTTTTTTATTTTTTGCTTATATTGTTATTGTCTAGTAAATATATAAAAATTAACATTTATAAATATTAAAATATAGTTAGTATTGATTATAAAAAAATTTATGTAATAAAAATAAATATTTATGGTAATTTGAACCATTTTAATAATAAAATCATTTCAATATTATCATCCCCAAGTCTAGAGCAACGATCAGAAAGTATAAGTTTTGACTTACTAAATAATCTCTCGACACTAGCACTTGAGGGTAAGGGCGTATTTAATCTTATATACATATTTTTAATATAAGATAGATTATCAATAATTTTATTTGCAAACACATCATATGTCTGGCATCCTATTATCATTTTGAGGGCTAATGCCACAGATCTTCTTTTTAAAGTCTTAGGGTCTAGCTAATGGCCTGTGAGTCCTAAATATGCTCAAGAATATTTAATCAGTTTAATTTATAAATATAAATAAGTTTTACCTTCTATTATGTCTCCAACTATCTGCCGAGGTACATATATATACTCAACTATTAGAGCATCTTTCATCATTTTAAAGTTATCTGCTATTTTATTCAATAGTGTCTTGCGGCATAAAATTGTTGTACTAGGGGAAAGAGTTTTAATCATCATGGTAAATGATGGATTATCAGCCAAGGACATTGGCTGAACTGTATTAATCATAAAATCAACAATAACTTTATCAGCCAATTTCTGAGAAATATTGTCGTATTAATAATTAATTTGGTTTGAATTGAATTGTCTTTTTGGATGCAGAGACGCCTATACCAAAATTATTTAGATGTTTCTATATTTCCTTAAAAAACATGAACAGTCTTATAATAAATATTATAAGAATGTAAAAATGTAAAAATGACAATTTACCTTTAGATGTTTCTTAAGGTTATAGCTACTAGGTTGATTTGAGGAAATATTTTTTTATACATTTTTAAACAAATAAATTTGAAGCCAGTTTTGGATTATAAATTTATTTTAAAAAAATTTAAAATCTAGGGAATGGGAAATTTTTATTATAGCTATTAAGAACATTTTCTTCCATGGTATCTTCCATTTCATTAATATCATTGTCTGAATCATTTTCAACAATTTGGATATCCATAGGCGAAGACATTTTAAATTATTAACACGTGATTTAGGTTTATAATTCAAATGAAAATATAAATTACAAATGAAAATATATTTTATTTTCAAAATAAAATAATAAATCATAAAAATTGTAATTAATATGATATTATATTTAAATTTTCATATTTATACTTACCTTCATAATATTTTTAAAAAGTAGCTAAGTAGCGGCTACTTAGCTACTTTCAAAAAAAGTAGCGCGCTTAAAAATTAAATAATTATAAAAAAAGTAGCCGCTATTAGCTATAGCTACCAAAAAAGTTAGCGCGCTACTAAAACAACTCTGCATAGTATGTTTGACTGCCAAACAATGGGTAAGTGGGAAATAATTCTCTTAAAAAAACCGAAAAAAAATCCACTAAAATAATTCACCGGAAAATAATTCCCCCGAATATAAATCCTAGGAAAATATTTACTCGGAAGAATTCCCCTGGGAAAAAATTCCATAGTAAATATTTCCCGGAAAAAATTTCCCAGGAAATATATTCCCCATTATTTAGATTTTAAATTAAATCAAGGAGAAAATAAATCCCCGGAAAAAAAACCGGGAAAAAATTCCCCGAATAATTTTTTTCGAAATTATCAAAAATAACCCCGCCACTAAAATGACGGAAATATTTCTAAAAAATTCAGTATTTTATGAGCGTTGAGTATTTATTCTCGACGTTTCAGGATTTTTTTTGAGCATTATTTCTGTTTTATTTCTAAGCGATATAGGGCAATCTTAAAATATGAGAATTGATATATCGGTTGACTTTGATACATTATAATTTAGTAGATAGCATAAAAAATATAAATTTGTGACATTTTGGAAAGTAAAGATGATAGATTTTTATTTACAATTTAAACTTGAAAAAATAAAGTGAAAACAAATTTTTCCCTAGAAAGAGGGAGGTTATTCCCATAATCTACTTTTTATCTGGTTTTCAATATATATTATGAAAACAAATCATTTAACCACATTATATTTATCGTGTGGGGGGGGGGGGTGTATTTATAACCAAAGTGGCATTAAAGCTAAAACAAATATATGAATATGAATATTATAACACTATTCTGTTCCATGCGTTTATATGTCTGCCTGGGATTTATTTTCCGGGGATTTTTTTTCCGGGGAATTATTTTCCTAGATTCATGTGAAGAGTGGAATAATCTATTTCAGCATATTATAGGTCACAAATAGCCTAAGATATAAGAACTAATTGAATAGATGAGGATGGAAATAGCCGTCGAATGGACAAAATCGGTAAATTGAGTATTGGGACATACACTCTCAAAAAAATCGTAGTTACGCCACAAAACAAAATATTTTGAAAAATATATGTATTGATCTTTTAGAAGAGAGAAATACTTACCTAATTTTCTCTATTCAATTGGGGAACATATACGTTCTAGAATTGTTTCACTTGAATAATATGACTTATATTGTTTCATATTTCCAACTGATTTAAATTTTTAATATATTTCCAGAAACTTCATGGAAATGATTAATAATTTGTGTAAAAATAAATATTTGTTTTAAGATAAAAATTTGATTTTCGATAAATATCTAAAAGTTGATGAAAATAGGTGAACTAAATTTATTTAACTTTCGTTTTATGAACCTCAAATCTTAGAAGGAATTTGAATTTAAAAATCATTTTGATTTAATTAAAGTAATGCAGATTCGGGTCAAAAAATGGTATGAATTTATAAATCCAGGCTAAAATAAAATATCTGGGCTGGCCATTA